GTTATCTGGCATCATCTACTTAAGGGATCGTAAACATTAAGGGGTAGAGATTTCAACAGCAATATATTTATTTATTTCATGTTCTTCTAATATAGTTTATGACGGAAGACAGTGTATATCAGCTAAGGCATAATACTATATGACCCACCATTACTGTATTTCCTCACACACACACACATATACATCACAGTGTATATAGAAATACTTAATAAACGCCTAACAATATACTTTTCCCATGTTTACATACCTGTTGTAAATGAAAATATTGAAGGAAGCTGTCTGTTTCTATCCATCTATTTCTACTATCTATCAATCTGTGTGCTATCTATCGATCTATCTCAACTATCTATCCATCTATCTCTTCTATCTATTACATCTTACTCCATTTCTTATAAAACAAATTGTAGATATACTTATAGATGATATATAACTATAGACAAATAAGTATACAGTATATCAACCAGAAAGATATATATAGCTCAAGAGACCTAATGCATACATACGACTCTTTTAACCGCATACCACCCCCCCCCCCTTCTTCATACACTGGGGTTCTAAACTAGCCTAATGGCATAATTATATGTATTAAGTTTTAGTGTATAATGGTGCAGTATGCATAGTAATGTCGGAGTGAGCGAAGGGTACACGGCAGGGGGGTGATGGATGGTTAGCCTCAAGCTACTGTGGTTTCAGTTAGCTAGAATCTGTAGGTGTGGACTGAATGACCCGCCAGCCAGTCAGTTAGCCAGTCAGTCAGTCAGGTTTTTCAGTATATGGTATACACGATCGTCCCTTAATTGGTATTATTTTTTAGCTCTGATAGTCTAATACGGTCTCTATATTTTGAATAGCTTAATAACAATACGGTGTTTATGTAAAATAACAATAAGAGTAGGCCTACGGCGTCTATATATTAGATAACAATAACAATACAGTGTCTATATTCTAGATTACTTAATAAACTAGTGAACAAAATATATCAAGAGATGAACTGTGTTTATAAGTGGAGGGAAAAACAAAGTTGATATAACGTCTTGATAACAAATGACGATCGCCGGAGGAGAGTTACAAGTGTTTATATTAGAAGACTAGATGTTGAAAACCTGATGTAATAATAATTCCCCCAACAAGTTCAACGAAGGTCTTCTTATTATATCTCTTATGATTTTTTTTTATATCAAGTCAAAAAATTGCTGAACTCAAGCAAGAATACCTCCAGTAATTTCTCGAAGATTTCGTCACGTAGATAAACCCAGGTTATAAATTCACAATATAAAAATAGAGAAAGCGTAAAAATAAAATGAAAAAAATATCCAAGCCACAATCTGCTCCACATTCCTCTGCAGCGACAGAATCAAAAATCCCTTTATGAAAAACGCCATAATATATTCAGCAATTCACTACCTCAGATTCTCTCCATTCTTGATGACTTTTGAGATATGACGGAGCCCTGGTAACTCAGCTGACGGAGCCCGGGCACACTCATGTTTTTATCCTCGTAACCTTCAAGGGCAAGTCAGGAAATAATTTTCATATTGTCTGTCTGTTGGTCTGTCTGTCCGGTGTATCCGTCTGTATGTCAGTTCCATGTCGATCGTTGTCCATCTTCATCTCTTCATCTTTCTGTTTTGAAAACTATAATATTAATAATATTTCTTATAATATTAACCTAAAGAATTAAATGAGAAATATAATGTATATTTCTTGTACAAATATACAAATAATACGAATAGAACACACACACACACATACACACACACACATATATATATATATATATATATATATATATATATATATATATATATATATATATATATATATATATATATATATATATATATATATATATATATATATATATATATATATAGATATATATATACACACACACACGTTAGAAGTATACTTGTTAAACAGAATATTCTCTCAGTGTTAATTTCCTTTAAAGTAAAATTATATTGCAATTAAGTTACTCAAAAGGCAAGATAATGCCATTCAGCAGATTTTTGGTATGATAATGAACCATTAAATCATTTATAAGAAAAAAATATATAACTGGTTTCAGATAAAAAAAAATTTTTACTAGGGAATTGGTTAAAATTGAAGTCTTATATAATGTTATACCTTATATAAGTACCCTATAATTCAGGTGTAATGTTATTAATTATATAAGCTTAAACATAATTCCCACATGATTTTATTCAAATTAATCTGTGTTTAGTGGGAGGGAAAAAATTAACTCTGGATGATTATTATGTATTTCTGGCCACAAGGAACTGGTATTATTTATATCTTTATATCTCTCCTCTCTCTCTCTCTCTCTCTCTCTCTCATTATCTCTCTATCTCTCTTCTCTCTCTTTATCTTTCTTCTCTCTCTCTTCCTTTTTTTCTCTCTCTCTACCTCTTTTGTCTTTATTTATATTTTTTCTCTCTCATTTTATCTTTCTTTGCTCTCTCTCTCTTTCCCCTCTCTAGGGTGACGCAGATAAGGTAATACTGTACCTGATTCTGATTCTGTAAGACTCATGAACTTGTGAATACGAAACATCACCCAGCCCAGTGTATACCATCTATGGGCCCCAACTATGTGTGATGTCTCGGATTCAATGGTTCATGAGTCTCAGAGTTCATGAATGGGAGAGAGAGGACTGACAGGACATTTTTTTTCCTGACTGTCCATCCTTCCCCCTGACTGTCCATCCATGCTCGGGTATAACTTAACAGGTACGGTACCAGTATGGTGAATCTTTATCATAAGTTAATAAATAGAACATTCTTAAGGCCTATTAACCCAAGCTGTTTACATAATTTTTTATCACACTGCCCAAGATGTATAAACTTTTCTATGATCAATATTTCTCATATCCGGTTCACTTCATTTCAGCTAAAACACAGAAACAGTATAAACAATTACTCAGAGACTCTACCTTAACTAGATTTGGCAAAGTACGTTCGGTGAGCAACTGTTAAGAGACCTGACCTAATTTAACCTAACCTCACAGAATGTAAGCTAATTTAACCTAACGTAACAGAATCTTAACCTAACCTAACAGAATCTAACCTAATTTAACCTAACAGAATCTAACTAATTTAACCTAACCTAACAGAATATAACCTAATTTAACCTAACCTAACAGGACTTAACCTAATTTAACATAACCTAACAGAACCTAATCTAATTTAACCTAACCTAACAGGACCTAGCCTAATTTAACAGTACCTAACAGAATATAACTAATTTAACCTAACCTAACAGGCCCTAACCTAATTTAACCTAACCTAACAGAATCTAATCTATTTGAACGTGAAGTAACCTAAGAGAACATAACTTAACCTAATTTATCCTAGTTTAATCTATTCCCTCCAGGTAGGTAACGTTAAGGTGTTAATGCATCAGATGAAACAAACTGTGGTGTCTGATCTTAACTTGATCTCAAACGCTAGTAAACCAGACCTCTGTCATATCGAATACACAGTCTAGTACATACAGAGGTCAGAGTCAACCTTACATTACCGCAACACTTGTATAGTTACAGTAATACTCGCCTAACATTTTCCTTGTTTTGAACAGTACTAAAAATATACTCGACCATTTTCCTTGTGTGAAATGGATGATGAGAGAGAGAGAGAGAGGGGGGGAGTAGGTACAAGGACAAAAATACAACTTCTGCACACAATCGAAAGAAGAAAGAGAGAGAGAGAGGAAGAAAGAGGATATACATACAGAGGAGTAAGGATAGTAATCGTAGATCAGCTTGTGAGCCCTCAGAGTATCGTGTTCCCCCCTATGGATTCAGTTTACACAGTGGACCATTCATGGCCCATCTGGCGGTGGTCTCTTTATGGTCTTTGAGGGGGGCGTCCGCCCTCTGGTTTGGGCCCCAACCATAAATGAACTCCACAGCAGGCAGAAGGCTTGGAGAACGTTCGAGTGGTGTATTTTCCATTAACAGTCTTTGTGGCATGGTGAGAGACGTAAAGTTGGCACTACAGTAAGCAGAAAGCGGGCGACCGTTTGCTTGGCGTAATTTTCATCTGTGCTGTTCCTGGGTGGAGGGAAGATGGGCGAACGTTGGACTTACATACCTTTACCTCCGCCAGGCACTCGTGATTGCTTCTCCAGGGTTGTCTTCGGGAAGGGGATTGTTCTGGTGATATAATAGAAATAATTTTTTGACAAGTAGAATCTTCGTACATGATAAGTGACTCTCTTAAGGTCATTCAAGGTTTCTGTGATGAATATATAAGTCTGTGTCCGCTTAACGTACTGTACAGTCAGCCAAAGATGCATCGACCCCACCCTGGCTCTCGCACTCGCAATTTGATGTGAGAATCTTGTGGCAGCTCTGATTGTTAAGTTGCCAATTTATGAACATATTTCTTCATTATTTAAGCAATTATACGAACATTTAGAAACTACTCATGATCTTAAATAACAATGAATAGTTTATTATTATATAAATGCTACCTTTTGATTGTTTAATATTTATCCTGACACTGTCAGGATAAATATTAAACACTCCAGGCTGACAGTGATACAGTCAAAAATAGATCCACTACTCAATCCCCATTACATACAGTCTTACTTCACCAAGTATTGCCAGGTGCGAGAGCCAGGGTGGGGTCGATGCATCTTTGGTTGACGATACTTCCGGTTAACGTACAGGTTCTCAGGAAGTATCGTATACGTTAAACGTACCTTGACTGTATTTGTAAATTACAATAAAAACATAATTGTCTATTTAAACATAACTAAACACTGTCTCTAACTTTATCTATTTAGCCATGTGATACAGCTGAATGTCTCGGCTGTGATCCACACTAAACACTTCCTGTCCCCCTAGAAACATTAACTAACACCTTCATCACCTAAAATCATTTATATGTCACCACTATACTTCCTCAGGTGTCTTCAGTAACCCTGCCACCCTCATATACTGCTGAAGGTTCGTCAGGTGTTTTCATTAACCTTACCTCTCTCGTCTTCTGCTGCAGGTTCGTGTCGCAGCTCAGTGCCTCATATTCGTCGACAAGAATCCACTGTGAAAACATCCCCGGGCTGGTGCGCCGACAGCGAGTACTGTGTAAGCGACATCCGGACGCCATGTTAGCCGTGACGGAGGGTGCCATCCAGGGCGTCAGGCACTGTCAGAAACAGTTTCACCACTCCCGCTGGAACTGTTCCACCATCCCTCGTGACGCGTCCGTCTTCGGCAGACACGTTCTGAGAAGTACGTTTTGTGTATGAGTCTTGTTGGCCTTCTATCAGCCTCTCTCTCTCTCTGTCTCTGCTCTCAAACTAAAATATTACTAAAGAAAAGACAATTATTTCCAGAAATTTCGCCACCACTATAAACCATGACCACCATGATGTTGCTACCATGACAACCATGATACTGATATTTGCTGAGTACAACACTGTTGCCACCATGGTAAGACCATTATTGCCATAGTCATATAGCCATACTACCGAGGGACTACTACTGTCACCAGGACACTTCCATGACCATAGATAACCTCCTGCCTCAGCTGATCTTTGACCTGATAAAGGCTGACCTCCCTTACAGCTGACGTTTGACCTATCCAAAGCTGACCAACTCTCCTTACGCAACTAACCTGACCTCCTGCTCGGCTGAGGTTAAACCTGACTAGAGCTAGCTATATTGACCTTGGCCTGACCTGCATCACAGCTGACGCTTAACGTAACTATATGCTGACCTCCTGCACAAGCTGACCTGACCTGACCTCCGTGTTCCAGCGGGTACCCGGGAGTCGGCGTTCGTGTACTCTATCAACAGTGCCGGTGTAGTGCACGCCATCACCCGGGCCTGTAGCCGCGGCGCCATCACCAACTGTGCCTGTGATCTGACCAAGAAGGTGAGGAAGGAGGGGCGCCTTAGCTTTGTCATGATGGACGTTTTTAGCTTTAAGAGACTTGCTGTAGTTGAAACTGTACGTATAGCTGTGGCTGTACGTATAGCTGTAGCTACACGTATAGCTGTATCTGTACGTATAGCTGTAGCTGTAGCTGTACGTATAACTGTAGCTGTTGCTGTTGCTGTACGTATAAATGTAGCTGTTGCTGTAATTAAAGCTGTAGCTGTTGCTGTGCGTATAGCTGTAGCTTCTGCTGTTCGTATAGCTGTAGCTCTACGCATAACTGTAGAACATAAGAACATAAGAATGGAGGAAACTGCAGCGGGTCTATTGGCTCATACTGGGCAGTCCCATTTACACCCAACCCCTATTGCTCATATATCCATCCAACCTATGTTTGAAGCTATCCAGCATATTCGAGTTAATGGTGATATTTGGTAACTTGTTCCACTCGTCCACTTCTCTATTTCCAAACCAATGTTTACCTTGTTCGCGCCTCAATCTAAATTTGTCTAATTTAAAATGTCCCCTTTGTTCAGCCCCGACTTCCATTTATACACCTCTATCAGATCGTCCCTCGCTCTACGTCTCTCGAGGGAGTGCAGATTAAGATGCTTTAACCTGTCTCTGTACTCAAGGTTCCTAATGCCCGGGATTAGTCTTGTCATTCTCCCCTGAATTCTTTCCAAGGATTCTATATCCATTCTGTAATACGGTGACCAGAATTGAACTGCGTAATCCAAGTGAGGTCTCACAAGCGCAAGATATAGTTTTAGGATGACCTCGCTAGTCTTGTAACTAACACTCCTTTGTATGAACCCAAGCAATTTAATCGCCTTGTTTTGAGCAAATACACATTGTTTACTTGGCTTAAGATTCCTACTCATCATTACTCCAAAATCCTTCTCGCAGTCGGATTTCTCAATAACATCGACCTTGTTCATCTGGTATCTGGTTTCCCTGTTTACATCTCCTATACTGAGTACTTTACATTTGTTTACATTGAATTTCATCTGCCATTTTTCAGACCATTCGAAAATTTTGTTTAGATCTTCCTGTAGTGTTGCAGAGTCCTCGTCAGATTTAATTACACGCCCTATTTTAGTGATATCAGCAAATTTACTTAAGTTAAGTAGCTGTTGCTGTGCTTAAAGTTGTAGCTGTTGCTGTACATATAGCTGTAGCTGTTGCTGTACATATAGCTGTAGCTGTTGCTGTACGTATAGCTGTAGCTGTTGCTGTACGTATAACTGTAGCTGTTGCTGTACATATAGCTGTAGCTGTTACTGTACGTATAGCTGTAGCTGTTGCTGTCCGTATAGCTGTAGCTGTTGCTGTCCGTATAGCTGTAGCTGTTGCTGTCCGTATAGCTGTAGCTGTTGCTGTCCGTATAGCTGTAGCTGTTGCTGTCCGTATAGCTGTAGCTGTTGCTGTACATATAGCTGTAGCTGTTGCTGTACATATAGCTGTAGCTATTGCTGTACGTATAGCTGTAGCTGTTGCTGTACGTATAGCTGTAGCTGTTGCTGTATGTATAGATGTAGCTGTTGTTGTACGTATAGCTGTAGCTGTTACTGTACGTATAGCTGTAGCTGTTGCTGTACGTATAGCTGTAGCTGTTGCTGTCCGTATAGCTGTAGCTGTTGCTGTGCTTAAATCTGTAAAGTAGGAGTAGGAGGAGGTAAGTGATACGGTAGGAGGCACTTAGCTTTATCTGAAGCTTTGTGTACTCTCCGTTGTCGTCATGTCCTCGCAGTACTTTGGGTACGTCTTAGGTTGTTCGTGCGCTCTGAGTATTCATTTTCGCTCTTCTGTGTATTGTAAGTGTTCTCTAGTCTCCTGTGTACCCAAAGTGTACTTCAAATGTACTCTTGTCTCCTGTGTACTCTAAGTGCAGAGTTGGAAGTAATGAAATAAACTTACTCGTGTTTTGTACTCAATTAACATTTTTGGGCAGCTACTTTTTAAAAAGTACTCAAATTTTTTAGTGCTTTTACTCTTACTTGAGTATGGTTTCTAATACTTTTACTCCAATACAATTGTAAAAACAAAATTCGTTACTCGTTACGTGCCCCAAGCAAAGCATCTTAATGTCTGTGGCATACTAATAATATATTTTTAAATTAATTCTTGTGGGTGGGCGGAGGATACGGTGTGGGTGTGGGGAAACACCACACAGTCACATACCTAGAGGTCTCGTGAGGTGAGGTGACGTAAGATCAGGTCAGGTCCCTTTAATCTTGTGTCCATTAGCATCTTAACCTCGCACTTTACCTAGCCTCCGCTCTTACCGCCCCTCCCCCATCGAATCCCCTCTCTTCTCCCTCAACTTTCCTTCAGGGGCTTGGTCTTCCTGTTAGGTGTCAGTTGCTCTTTTGCATAATGGAGGTGCCTGTAGCTAAAATGAATTTCAAAGAGGCTGTGATTCTAGAATGTTTCACACTATACCTACAATGGATTATAGCAAGAAGAGAGGCTGAAGTATTCACTTTCCGTATGTCATGCTGGGCATATATTTAAGCTCACAAGATCCTGATTGGACATCCATAATTTTGAGAGGCAGTTATTGATTAATCTCAATAGAAAGATTTGCAAATAAACAAGTGTAATACTGTGTCTTTATTTATCTTTAGTTAAATATTTTGTATAATTTACTGTGGATTTATTTAAATCTTTAAAATAAATAATAATTTTATTATTACTTTTTACGGTCAGTACTATAGTAATTTAGGAATGAAATACTTGTTTAATTCTACTTTAGTAACATTTAGCCAATGTAACAATACTTTTACTTAGGTAACAAAGCCCGGTACTTTTTACAACTCTGCCTTAGTGTACTCTAGTCTCCTGAACTCTACCAACCCCAAGGACGCCAACATAACCATTTAAGTTAAGTCCATGTATCTTAATGCATTATGTGTGTACTCTCAAGTGTCAAATGTACTCTATTTAAATGTAGCTTATGTGAAATATTACTCTGTAGGGCAGCCATCGTGACCGGGGAGGACAGTTTACGTGGGGCGGCTGCTCAGATAACATCCGCTACGGCACCGCCTTCGCCAGGAAGTTCATAGACGCCCGTGATCGTCGGCCGCGGGACGCCAGAGCTCTCATGAACCTACACAACAACCGCGCTGGTCGCAAGGTAAGAGAGAGAGAGAGTCGAAGATAGTTATTTATATCGATAGATAGATAGATAGATGGATGGATAGATATAAGTATAAAGAGAGAGGGAGAGAATACTATAAAAACTCCATTCATCTCTTGAGCGACTTACCCCTAACCCCTCTCCTCCTCCAGGGGGTACGGAAGAAGATGCGTCTAGAGTGTAAGTGCCATGGGGTGTCTGGCTCATGTACAGTCAGGACCTGCTGGCAGACAATGGCGCCCTTCGGAGCCACGGCACGCTGGCTCAAGAGTCGCTACGACGAAGCCACGGAGGTGAGAGTCCAACCCAACGGTGTGTTTATGGTCCCCCGATACGGTGATCACAGGAAACCCAGGAAGAAAGATCTGGTGTACCTCGAGTCTTCCCCGGACTACTGCGACGCTGATTCTTCCTCAGGTGAGAGAGAGAGAGACTTAATGATGAGTGTGAAAGATAACTTAACAGTGTGAGAGAAAGAGGAAGAAGGGAGAGGTGACTTGAGAGAGAGAGCTGACACTACTTCTTCCCCCACAGGGTTCACGGGCACGGGAGGCCGCCAGTGCAATCGGACATCACAAGGTACGGACGGCTGTGAACTGCTGTGCTGTGGCCGAGGCTTCGACACCCACAAGCGGCTTATCACCACCAAGTGTGAGTGCATGTTCCAGTGGTGCTGCTCCGTTGAATGCAAGACCTGTGAGGCCTGGATGGACCTACACTTCTGTAAGGCCTGGCAGGACCCTTTACATCGTCTCTGACCAGCTCGACTGAGTTTCTTTTCGTCTACTGCTTAAGGCCTGATGAAGGTACAGTACCTGAAGGGAGCTGGACCCGTCATAACGCCTGAGACCTGTTTCTTCTTCAGGAAGATGGTGTTTACTCCGTCGACTAACAAGACCTGGAGGATCTGGTGTTGTCATTCATCCTGACGTTGTTTGAGTCGTCAGATACAACAACGGGGCCCGCTCCAGCACCTATGAACTCTAAACCGCAGGTCGCCAATATTAGACCCGTTGTGGGCTCATCATGTCGGCCTCAGACAGACACTCAATAATATGTTGTCAGACTATCAAGATTATAGCAACAGAAAGGACTAACAACAACGACTGTCCTTATTGGGGAGAAAGACGTATAAAGTATCGGTGAAAAGACACGACGAAATATTCAAGAAAATATTATAGAAAAGCAGAAAACATAATTATGTAAACAGACCCAAAGTGATATAAGAAATGAAATTGATAGTAAATTTACAAAAGTATAAGAAAAGATCTATTTGAGATTATATTTTTTTTCACTCGCACCCAGTGAAGAGAATAAATCAAATAAAAAACTAAAATGTGTATGAGAACAATTATTTCTAGAAAAAAATAACTCAGATACAAATGCAGCAGCCAGCTAGGGGGTTGCGACTACTGGAAAATTGCATTACGTGTCTACACCCATCCTAGTAAAAAAAAAATACCAATCGACCTTGACCATTAGGATGTGAAATACCCATCAACCAATCACGGGTCTAAGAGGATTATCGACATAAACCAAGTGACACGGAAATAAGCCCTTCCTTCTCTTTCATCTAATTATGTGTTAACCTGACAGACAGCCAAATGAACACTCGGTCCTGGAAAACTTAACCGAGAATGGTGAGAAGAATGATAGATAATAGATGAAATTATAGACTATTGAATCCAATACTGTAGAGGTTGTGAGGTGTGTCTCCTTGTGTGTAGTGTTATCAATACAGTGGTAGTCGACCATGATCTATCAGTGAACCAATGTTTGTGTATATGTGGACCTTAGTCTCTAATTGTAGTTTAGGCCCTGTACGTAACTATGTAACTCTGTTTATCTATTTTTTTCTGTATGTAACTGCCAATCTGGCTAATGATCTACTTGTGTATCTATCTATCCATATATTGGTTAATATTCAGTATAGCATATGACCTAGGCTTCAGGATGACAATAGGGTGTGGGAATTATTTTGTATAATTCCACGTAATATTATTCCTGCGGCATGGAGCGGCCAGGGCGTAGACGCACTACCTACTTTCCAAAACGGTCTGTGTGACTGTGCCCCACCTGCCAGTGTCTTCCTGGCGTTAACATGCTGTCTACGCATCACAGAGGTTTGCTGGTACTTTTAGAAAATAATGACTTTCAATGTGTGGTACCTGAAGAGGTACCCAGGAAAAAACATCCCATATATTAGAGGAGGGTGGAAGTAGGCGAACTTCACCATCTCTACAAGGAACTTCGCCAAGATCCAAAGAAGTTTCACGAGTACACCAGAATGTATTCTGACTAGGGACGAGGCCTACCCACTCTGTTTATATTTGTTGAAAACTATCCTAGGAATGATCTGAACAAATATGAAATTAATTACAGATTGTCCCGTGCCAGGTGTGTTGTAGAGTGTGCATTTGAAATTGGTACATGTAAATGGAGAATTTTAAATAAAGCGATTGAAAAAAGGTAGATACTACTGTTAACATTATAAAGTGTTCGACACATTTACATAATATCCTCATTGACACAGAGGGTCTGGACGCAAAGTCATATGCAATTCAAGAATATACAGTTGAGAATAACACAGCACCCTCTTGAATAAATGATGTTTTACAATCTTCTGCAAATATTATATAAGAGAAACATTTTGCAGATGCTTTAATATTCCACAAGGATCTATTTCTTGGCAAGACCAAGCTGTTAACAGTGGAAAATAAATTTATACCCTTCTTTAGTTTTGGAGTAGAATGCGAGGACTCGCGCAACTGAGGAAGCGACGATCAAAATATTTGATCGCTGCTTCTAGGTCGCGAGTCTAGTTCCTGCTTCCTGGTCGCTCGCGAACGCTTCACTTGTCTACGTGGGACACATCAAAGAAAACACCTATGTTTGTCTGCTACACCAAGGTAGCGCGTTCAATCGTGCAGTCGCTCGATGCCACGGGATGCTCGCACCTGGAACAACCTAATTCGGATGGTGAGTGTGTAAATGAATTTAAAGTATAAAAGGCCTGTTGTTATGGATAGATCATGGATTTCTCTAAATTTTCCGTATAATTCATGATTCAAATGTATAAAAATATAAATTGGGGTGTTGGTTTAATATAAATAATTAGTCTGATTAGCGTTGACAGCCATCAGATGTTTCGCCGGGTTAAGTCGAGTTAACAATTTCTCGTCAATTACTTTAATTCTCGTAAATTAGTTTAAATAAAAATAATAATAGATTGCAATTGTATTATAATTATAAATTATAAGTTGTCAAAGTAAAGTATAAACTTAATTTCAGTGACAATGTGTCACAGTAACGTCATTTTGACGGGCTTTTTTGGCAGAAATGGTGTTGCTCCTGCCGCGTTATGTGAGATGTCTACCACTGTGAAATATTTACCCATTTTTCCCAAACAATATCAATAAAATGGAACAAAAGGCAACTGACAGCTTGCGATATCTTTATTATTTCAAGCTATATATATATACTTATAATCAAATAGCAGAGTTGGGTCTCGTGGCGTCTGTTTAGATGCGCAGAACAGATGATTTCTGGTTGGCGCATGACCGCACATGCGCAATATAGCGCCAGGGGTAGAATTTTTTCTAAGTAGAAATTTCACACAGCATGGAACCGGAAGGCAGAGATGTTTACAACTTTACAGAAACACACCCCGATCACTGGCGGAAGTCTTAATAAACTTCACCGAAGATTCATAAGCCCATCTTTCGATAAAGCTCTGATAGTGCTGGAGAACAGTGGTTCCGTAGGAGAGGATGGAGTAGGTAAGCCTCCATTTTTTCAAGTAAACGAATTAATTAATTATTGTGTGTGTAATATATTACTACTTAGGGCGAAGGTTTAAAAAGTATTCGTGTGGTTATCGTTGTATATTGGTAGGTCTGCTCCTATTGTACAGCAGTATTACTATAAACACCTTTCACGATAATTCCATATCTATTTGGTCCCTGTGTATAATGTATGTAAAGTTATCTTGGTTGTGTGTTGAATATAAATGTTTTATGATACGTTATAAAAAATAACCAGCTCGTCTCTAACCACAACTTTTTAGTTCTTCAGTGAAATCATGGTATTTCATTGACACTGACTTTAATGGTAAATTATAGCAACAGTTTTTGTCACAATCGCGTTGAATTATAAGTCCGGCGAGCTATCTCAGCGTTGCTCAGACCATTATAGTGAAGAGTAACATTGTATCTTGCGTTTCCTTTGACGTTCCGTCGTGTGTGGGTGCTTCAGGACTGCTGCAGCTGTAGTCATATGGCCGCAATCCTGGTAGTAACAGAAAAATTGTCTGCATTTCGTTTTTATTTACCTTAAGTAAAATTGATATAAAAACAGCGATTGTCGTTAACAGATAAATAAAATCAATAATTCAGTAAATCTTTACTTAATTTTAAAGTACAAATCAACTGTAGACATAATCATATATTCACAATTTATATTAATCAGTACTTTAACTTTGTAATGGTTTTCTTCCAAACACAACAGTAACGAAATAGCAACTTGCCTCTGGGTTTATAACACTACCCTTACCCTGTTGCACAAATACATCGATATTTATTCATCATTAAATTATATATTACATTGCACATGAATGCTTAATATCATTCATAATGTTATCTGTGGTATTAATCAATAAACTTAAAATCACAGAGGAAGCATTTTCTATAGCTAGGGGTACTAACCTATCCGATACATCACATCTGAAGTAATTGCTCATTTTCGATTCCTGCGGGCCATGAGGTCTACGGTCAATACTTTTCTTTTTGCTGAATGTACTGTACATTTTCCGTACAGTCAATTAATGTAGCCCCATCTATTACTCGACCTGTAATACACCTAAATTCGACCAGCTATAGATTCGACACTCCCATTCGATCCTCCAGACTCGACACTTCCATTCGACCCTCCAGACGCGACTTCCTTTCAACCCTCCAGACTCGACACTTCATTCGACCTTCCAGACGCGACACTTCCTTTCAACCCTCCAGATTCGACTTTTCTATTCGACCCTCTAGACTCGACACTTCCGTTCGACCCTCCAGATTCGACACTTCCTTTTGACCTTTTAGACGCGACACTTCCTTTCGACTCTCTAGGCTCGACACTTCCTTTCGACCCTCTAGACTCGACACTCTTATTTAATCTTCAGATTTAACACTCAGTCGACCTCTCAGGAAACGACTTTCATACGCGACCTTCTCCTGACGTGACACTTAATAGTCACTTCAGAAACGACAATCATGTTCGATCTCCAGATTGAACACTCAAATTCGATACATTTATTAAACCTTTTCCAAATTCGACATTCTTAATCGACCCTCCAGATCGAACACATGTACAGTACATGACTTCGGATTCGACTCTCATATTCATCCTCTCTGCCCGTTACGGGGAAGGTTGTCGCGAGATTTTCTGTACCTATGAGTCAAGTTTTTAATTTTGTAATCGAAATAATAGAAATGATTTATGATTCAATATTACTATTACCTGTTTAGTCTGAATCGTGTGTGTGTGTGTGTGTGTGTGTGTGTGTGTGTGTGTGTGTGTGTGTGTGTGTGTGATTTTTCCTCTCATTTATTTAAAGCGTTTTATTTGCACGAACATGTCCACACGGATGCGCACTCATAAATGTAATTCATAAAATATACCACACACACACACACAAGACCTAGAATATAGTCTGTTGTACATTAATAAGTAATTGCCCACTTCACAAGTTACTCAGTACAGTACATGTGAACCTAGTCATTTATAAATACACGCATATACAGTATATATATATATATATATTTGTATAGTATAGTGACCTGTCCACCATGGTATATTATTAGTGTACATTAATCCCTCATACAATATATAAGAACTTCACATTTGTGTTCTTAGAGTAATTTAGACGTTTATTTATGATATAATTAAAATATATGTAGGGTATTATAATGAGTTTGGAGTAAGCTAGATTTTGATGACTGATTATTGGTGTAAAAAATGGTCATTGGTTGTAAGAACAATTATTGAGGTACCGTAAGCATCCTTCACCTTGATAATAATCCTTACAAGTCAGGTCAGGTGGAGTGATTATACGCATTTTTTTTATATTACAATACTAACGATTATAATTACACAATAGTTGGAGCATTTGATTATAAAGGAAATATCTATTATTATCACTTTTTGTATTGTGAGTTTTAAAGAGAGAAAAAAGGTTATTCAGATTTTATTTTTTCTTTGGCATTATAGAAAAATACTTAAGAACATAATCCCAATATTTTGTAATGTTTGGTGGAAAAAAATATGAAAAGATGAAAATAAATATTAGCTCTTTTTATATATATTTTATCTTGAAACCAATACAAAATAAAATTATGTATCCCAAAATAGTTCTGTTTATTTAGATCTAACATCCAATAATATTGTACAGAAAGTAAAATAAAATATAAAATAAACGATCTTTTTTATTGATAATTTCTCTTAACACTACACAATAAAATTATATGTGAAACAGTACATCATTTGATTTAATAATTTATCTTAATATTATAGAGAATTAAACCAAATTGGTGTTTGTAAGGTCTCGTTCTCGTAGAGTTTTATGAAGGAGTTTTGGGTCACCATCAAGACTCATTCTACCTGATCAAAATTATCTATAATTCTTGGCCTTATATGTACAGTACACCTATAATTCTTAGCCTTAGATGTACAGTACACCTATAATTCTTAGCCTTAGATGTACAGTACACCTATAATTCTTAGCCTTAGATGTACAGTACACCTATAATTCTTAGCCTTAGATGTACAGTACACCTATAATTCTTAGCCTTAGATGTACAGTACACCTATAATTCTTAGCCTTAGATGTACAGTACACCTATAATTCTTAGCCTTAGATGTACAGTACACCTATAATTCTTAGCCTTAGATGTACAGTACACCTATAATTTTATTCTGATAAATACGAAAAAATTGCCAATGTGGGTTTGTTTGTTTGTTTTCTTATTCTAATTATATGTTGTTGACTTTTGTTGCTGTTATTTTACGGAGGCTGGGGTAAAGCCGGCCGTGTTTATATTGGTGCATGTACAGCAAGTTATGAACAGTATATGGACGTCATCGCTTGACCGAGTACACCTGTTGAACCACCTGGCTGAGTCCATATGTTGAACCACCTGGCTGAGTCCATATGTTAAACCGCCTGGCTGAGTCCATCTGTTGAAGTTAATTCTGATTATCTTTATGGGTGTGCCCAAGTGTGTGTGTGTGTAGATGGCCTCTCTCTCTGTTCCTGTCCTTTTCTTTTTCTTCCATTTTCTATGGTTTCTGCACCATCATCACCTCGTTGTTGTGTTGTTCTTGTTGCTCTTCTTCTTCTTCTTATCTCCCTCTATCTCTTCTCAAATCAGAAATTGGATTCCCAAATCAAAAATAACAGTTGATTTCCTTCCCTCTCTCTCTCCCTCCCTCTCCTCCCCTCCCAGAGTCCACGGCAGACACAAATATGGACGGCACCCAGAGAGCCAGCCGTCGAGGTCTCAAGGTTAATCCTGTCTGCCGTGGTTACTTCACCTGACCTCACCTGCCGAGACGCGGACCTGTAATTACGCTGAAGGGTAACACTTATAGCGAGGGATGACCATAGCGAAGGATGACTATTAGTTAAGGTGAGAGGGGTAGGAGAGAGCAAGGTGAGAGGGAAGAGGGAGGGAGCGGTCTTTGAACTATTATTTGGGTTGTCTAAACTTGGAAAAGATATATCGATCGAATTGTCCAGGCGGAGAGAGTGTGTGTGTGTCTGTGTGTATTGTGTGTGTGTGTGTGTGTGTGTGGGCTCAACAGTCTCCTCCTCTGATCTGGTAACAAAAACCTGGTGAGGAAGTCATGCAGGGCTGGCAAGACTGTAATCAAGATCTCCCCCCCTCTCCCAGTGTGTGTGTGCCAGTGGTGTTTGTTGGGGAAGTTTATTGTGTGGCGAGTGTGTGTGTCTGTGTGTATTGTGCGTGTGTGTGTGTATTGTGCGTGTGTGTGTGTGTATTGTGCGTGTGTGTGTGTGTGTGTGTGTGTGTGTGTATTGTGTGTGTGTGTTAATAATGTTTGAGGCTGTGAATGAACGAGTTAGTTTTATGTCTAAACAAAACTGTTTAAAATGTTTATTGTTCGTTTTTAGATTCGAACTACAGGATATTTGTTTATTTTAGCACTGAAGAACACTTCCTTTTCACTGATAAAATTCACGTTATTTGAGGTTACTGGCCTTAGTCTATCTTTAATCGGAAATTCTTAAACGACAAAATATAATTCCAGTTATTGTTTACATTTGATATAAAAGCGTTTGAATCCAGTGAAGTTTATCTTACTTTATTTAATGACAGAGCTGCCTCCTGGCATTATATTGTGAACAGTGACCATTGCTCTCCTCCCTTTCCATTCAACCTTACCTTCTCTTTTCTCTCTGTATTCCCTCCTTCAACTCCCTAACCCCCCTCCCCACTCTTCATCGTGGGAAAAAATCCAATCTTTTTTTCTTTCTCTCTCTCTTTTAGTTTAATCTAAATCCTTTGCCCCCCTATCACCGCGGGGTTGTCATCATGTCCTCGACTATCTGTCTCATCAAAGCTGCCGCCACTGTTGTGCTGTCTGGTGCTGATACACCTCTTCCCCGCCGTCACTAAGGTCGGTGTTCCCTCCTCCGCCACCGGGGACGTCGACCATCTCGAGGAGAGGAAAAACTCTCTCCTCCCGCAGTCGCAGCCGCACACAAGCAATTGAGGAGAGCCCAACAGTTTCCGCATCCATGGCTTTGGTTGTCAATGGTACCGATGGTATCTTGGTCGCCCCCCCCTCCCTTTACCTCCCCTTCCTGGATGATACTCTAAGGGGAGATGGGACCAAGTAGGACTAGGGGAGAGAGAAACGTGGGGGGGGGGGGATAATGGTAAGCGGAGGGGGCCCTGCCAGCTAGCAGTGAATGGCTCTCGCCAGCACTAATCCCTCGATCAAACGACGTAGTGAAAGAGCCACAACCTCCAGGTCCCCTCTTGTCCTCGTCGACGCCCGCTCCCTACGCCCCGACCCGCCCCAACCATCCAGACCCCTAAGGGTCCTTTTCCCTCCCAACCATATTATACTAAATGTCTCTATCTATACCTCCCAGATGAGCCTTTCCTGATGGTCCCTATTCTGTCTATCTCCCAGTTCAACGATCCTATCCCAAAACTCCCTAACTTCTTCCCGACGGCCTTCACCTTATACGTCCCTAACCTTGCCCCTTAAAGCCCACCCTAAAGGTTCTAATGGCCCTTTACTCACTAAAGGTTACAGCTCTGAAACCTTAAAAAGGCTCTGTCCTCAACCCCATTGTTCTCTGAGAGTCAGGCTCACGGCGTCTGTATACAGTAAGTATGTACTGCAAGTACACATTTACACAAGTCCCCATCCCCACCCCCATGCTCACCTATACCGGTACTCTCGACCCGTGTGTGTGTGTGTGTGTGTGTCGCACACAGGGTGGTGAAATGCGTCTAGTGTGGCAGCACTATGTCAGTGTTCAGGTGCAAGCACTGCATGCTCCCTCTCGCTTTCAGCTGCCGCCGCTGGCCAGCCCTCGTGGCGAACAGGGAAGGAACTTGCATAAGTCTTCCCCTGCCAGTACACAGCCTCTTCAACATCAAGACTCCTGCTGTGCCTCCTCGTGACAACACACGGTAACTGGGTGCCTCGTAGGCCCAGGCTAGACCAGCAGGGGTTCTCGGAGTAGCGCTGGGCCCTAGAGGGATGGGTCATAGGCCCACTGGCATGTGGACACGTTCTGGCGCCTTCCATCCATTGCCCCGCTGCCTTGCGAATTAACCTTGGCAGGTATAAGGCTACGGGAGTAAACCCCGAACAAAAATCTGCGGTGGAGCCCTGTATCAGGCAGGCATGCTTACAGGGCTCCATTTCCTTGGCTGCCTTCCTTAATTGTGCCAGTGCCAATTTAGCTGGCAAGAACAAAGGCGTCGGCAGCTTCCATTACTAAACATCAGTATGCAGGCGAACTCACCCTTGTTGCTTACACTGAACACGACCTACAGGAGATCTTAAACACCTACGCAGATGCGTATGCACACTTCGGCCTTGAGGTGAATGTATGTAAGACTCAGATTCTCTTTCAACCTGCCCAGGTTCAGGCACACCTGCATCATCCATCCAGCTTAACGGTATTACCATCTTTAATGTACCCACTTTCGTATCTCGGCTCCCACCTGTCCGCCACCGCAAACATCGATGAAGAGATTCAGCACCGGATCAGATGTGCATCTCAAGCCTTTGGCGGACTCCAAAACCGTGTCTTCAGCTGTAGGGATCTGAAATTATCTACAAAGCTGCATGTATATCGAGCAGTGGTCCTCCCCACCCTGCTATATGGCAGTGAAACATGGGTCACATACAGGAAGCACCTCAAGGCACTTGAAAACTTTCACCGACGTAGTCTACGATCCATCCTATGGGTTCCCTGGGAAGACAAGAGAACAAATGCCAGTATTCTTGCTGACACCAAGTGTAGGAGCATCGAGGCTACCATTATCCATGAACAGCTATGCTGGACTGGCCATGTTACCCGCATGGACGACAGTAGACTGCCAAAGCAGCTACTTTACAGTCACGTAACGAATAGTAAACGTAACGCAGGCAGGCAATTGAAAAGGTTATTAGGATAGTCTTAGGACAATCCTGAAAAAATGCCAAATTGACCCCCTCACCTGGGAGTCGATTACTCCACATCGTAACGCTTGGAGGAGCACCACACGAGAAGGTGTCAATACTTTTGAGTCAGCCCGACTGTAAACCGAGGAAGAATAACGTCAACGCCGGAATGACGCTGTCACCCCCCTTCCTGCACTAGATGCAGCCCTCCTCATGTGCAACGAATGTGGAGGACCCTGCAGGTCCAGTATCGGCCTCTTTAGTCATCTCAAAACTCACCAATCTAGGTGACATCCCTAATAACTCATATCATTGTATCATAGCTGGATGATCGTCATACTCGATTCCGAGTGACAGCAAAGTAGTAGTGATAGTGTTGGGTGTGTGTGTGTCTTGATATGTTGTGTGTGTGTGTGTGTGTAATAATAATAATAATAATAATAATAAACAGTTTACTAATAGAGTTGCAGCCAGTGGCTGAAAATATACAAACTTACTTATGATTTAGACATAATAATATACGTTCAATACATTTACAGGGCGTTACAGTACATAAATCAGGAGCTGTTTATTATTTTAACAATAGATGGGATGGTGCTATTTTTATATCTATCAGTGCGGGCTCTTTAGGCTGAATTTTCTTGTAGTGGCGGACTGCGCGAGGTGGGCGGGGGACTGCAGGTGGTAGTAAGTGGCGATGATGAGGATGGTGCAGTAGTACGCTCCCAAACCCTGCTAGTACGTGGTGCTGGAGGTCACTGAGGGATGGCATTTCCAGGGTGGAGAGAGCATTGTTGTAGCCGGAGTAGTCTGCGCCGAGCATGATTCTGCAGGCCCTCTTCTGTACCTTCTCTAGCTGACGTTGTTGGGTAGAGTTGAGAGAATACGACCAAGCTGGTGACGCATACGTTAATTTGGGGAATATAAATGCGTTGTAGATAATCCTCAGCTCTGGCATGGGTGCCCCAAGTGACCTGAGTCGTCGTAGCATGTAGAGTCGGTACGAGGCTGCCTTGATAGTGTTGTTTACATGGGACTTCCAGTCCAGTTTGTGGTCTATTGTGTCTGTGTGTGTGTGAGTGTGTGTGTGTGTTTTAATAGTGTTGTGTGTGTGTGTGTGTGTTTTGTTAGTGTTGTGTGTGTGTGTGTGAGTGTGTGTGTGTGTTTAATAGTGTTGTGTGTGTGTGTGTGTTTTTTGTGTGTGTGTGTGTGAGTGTGTGTGTGTGTGTGTGTGTGTTTTGATAGTGTGTGTGTGTGTGTGTGTGTGTGTGTGTGTGTGTGTGTTATGATAGTGTTGTTTGTGTGTTATGATAGTGTTGTGTGTGTGTGTGTAATAATAATAATATACATTGGACATAATATACATTGGACATAAATGACTTATTTCATACATTGGTGGTTTATCAAAAGCCTTCGTTAGAGACAGGTTAAGGGACATACAGTGAACATACAGATTAATGTAGGTGTTGAACAGCAAACACGTAGTGTAGTAACTCCCTCCCAGATGGTGTTAGAAGGGACCTCACGTGGTGTAGTAACTCCCTCCCAGATGGTGTTAGAAGGGACCTCACGTGGTGTAGTAGCTCCCTCACAGATGGTGTTATGCGGGACCTCACGTGGTGTAGTAATTCCCTCACAGATGGTGTTATGCGGGACCTCACGTGGTGTAATAATTCTCTCACAGATGGTGTTATGAGGGGCATCACGTGGTGTAGTAATTCGCTCACAGATGGTGTTATGAGGGGCCTCACATGGTGTAGTAACTCCCTCACAGATGGTGTTATATGAGTGAGGTGTGGTCCCAGGCCTTCCTATCCTAGACGGATTGTTGGTTGTTGTTGGGTCTCATGGGCAGTTATCGTGTGTGTGTGTGTGTGTGTGTGTGTGTGTTTGTGTTTTGATAGTGTTGTGTGTGTGTGTGTTTGTTGACGTGTTGTGTGTGTGTGTGTGTGTGTGTGTGTTTCTTGACGTGTGTGTGTGTGTGTGTGTGTGTGTGTGTGTGTGAGTGCGTACGGACAGTGGTGGCGGTAATCAAGGGGGTGGTAGTGTTGATAGTGGTGGTAGTGATGATAGCGGAGGTGGTTATACCGGGGGTAGAGGTTCATAGTGGGGATGGTAGTGATGATAGTAGTGGTAGTGGTGATGGTAGTGATGGTGGTAGTGGTAGTGGTGATGGTAGTGATGGTGGTAGTAATGGATGTAGGTAGTTGTTGATAGTGGTGGAAGAAGGAGGGGATGCCAACAAGTACATTATCTGACACTAATTCCCTTTCATTATTAGGATCGGGATATTTACCTCTCTCCAACACAACTAATTAACCAGAAACCAGTTTTTTGGTCTTGGCTAATCCATTTTGCTATATTTTGTTCCATTATTTATCATTCTCAATATTACATATAATTATGTTATTATTATTCATAACGTTAATAATCATAATAATAATAGGAGTAATAAAAAAATATATATATATATATATATATATATATATATATATATATATATATATATATATATATATATATATATATATATATATATATATATAATGATAATAATAATAAAGGATATCTCAGGTACAAAGAGCAGCTTATGACAGGTATTTAGTTACTCAGAGAATAATGAAGATGGATTGTGTAATTGCCTCTGTAAGAGAACTATCCTGCTGGGCCGACTAGTTCTTGTGGGGGGCGATTACTTCACCCCCACCTCTTATCCCCCTCCTCTCACCTCTCCTCTCCACCTCACCCCATCCCACCTCTCATCCCTCCACACCACCTATCACCCCTCCCCTCCCCCTCAACCCCTATCCACCTCTCATCCCCCTCCCCACCCCACTAACCCTTCAGGTGCTCGAGGTCGTCACTAATATACTGTATGTGTTATGATAGTGTGTGTATGCATGTATGTGTGTATGTATGTATGTATGTATGTAGGTACAGTAATAGGTAGCTACCAAACAGGGAGGTACTACCGCCTGGGAAGATATTGGAAGCATAATGTGTTGTCTAATGGTAGACCCTCCTGCCATATGGCATCACGAAAATTGTGACCAAGTCCCAGGTTGCTGATCTGACTTTCTGCCTCATTTACACATAATTGCAGGGTCTCAATTGTTTATCTTACTATTGACAACACAACATACATATATCGTTTCTCACTATAAATCTCTTTTATTTTCATTTGTGTATTCATTTATGGTCCTTTATTATTATTATTATTATTATTATTATTTCACCCCCAGGCCCTGATGTGGATCATTGACCTGTGCCCTGGTGGGCTAATCCAGTAAAAAAAAGTATGTATGTATGTATGTATGTATAGTATGTATGTATGTATGTATACTAATTCATAGTTATGTTCTCTCATTCATCTGGGTTAAATAAAACATATGTGCTTTATAATGCACCAATTTTACTACAGCATTACCATTTGTCAACCATTGATACCTCAAACATGTAAACATTGTTTACATACGCCCTCTCGGATACACTCAACTTGTTTACACTTTAGTACAAGGATTCAGTGACATCCTATACAAGACGTCATCAATATCCCGCAAGACAAGATGATCCCTCAACAATGTTGGGTAATAGCCAGTGTCCGTGAAGCAACGTTGGTGGACGAATACACACTTTATCGATGCTGGTTGGGTTAGGTTAGGTTACGTGAGCTAATTTAACCTAAAAACCTTGTTGACCGCACGCTATAGTGTAATAGTGTGGGGTACGGGTTGTTTGGTTCACACTCAGGATGGGTTGGAGAAAGGAAACTCACAATGTGCTCTCTGTATACATGTTGTGTTGGATGTACAATGCAGCTTGGTGCTGGGAAGTGGCAGCGTGGTTACAAGCGTGATGTAGAGAGAGCTGGTTGGTGAGGGTGCTCAGAGGAGGACAGCTTGTGGGTCGCCATGCTCGCCGGCGGGAGCGAGGGCCGCCAGGCAGCGGCGGAGGAGGTGGAGTAGCTTGCTGGTTGGTGTAGGTAGAAAGAGAGAGGTCACCACGAGGTCAGGTCTTAAATAGCGGGGGTAGATAGTTGACCCCCGCTCCGTGGGCGGCGCTGGTTGACCAAGACCACGAGGCATACACTGGGGAATTCGCGGGATCGGCTACTCAGCGACAAACAGCGTTTGTAGGGGAGAAATCCACTACAATAGCCCCTGTCTTATAGGCAGAAGTATTATATAAATGGGTTAATTACATTTAATTTATATACTCTTTCACCCTCTGTAACTTTCCACTGGCTATGAGGTAGTGTAGTGGATTCCTCCCCTACAAGCACCGAACCTTCTCGAATTCCCCAGCCTACGCCTCCAGCGCCGCCCACGGAGCGGGGGTCAACTATCTACTCACGCCTACCCCCGCCTTATAAGGCCTGACACCGCTGTGACCAGCCACTTTCTACACAGTGCCACCAGCAAGCAACACCTCCTCCTCCGCGCCAGTCTGGCGGCTGCCGTTCCCGCCAGCGACCTTGGCGTCCCTCAAGCCGCATGCCCTCACTCTGGGCACCCTCACCACCCAGCTCTCTCTACTCAACGCTTATTACTATGCTACCTACCCAGCAACACGCTGCATTGTACATCCAATACAATATGTATACAGTGAGCACATTGTGAGTTTCCTTTCTCCATCCCATCTTGAGTGTGAACCAATATCTCATACCCCCACAGTAGCATGTTCAGAGCACGTGATAAGGTGTACCCACGGGAAGCCGCGTCGTATTCTGCTGAGTTAAGGCACTAAATAGCCGGCTCCCTGGCCACCTAATGCGGGCAGTAGCTGGATATCCTTGACTAGAGGAAGACGTTATTTGAGAGCCATCGTGGATGGTTCCGTCTTCCGTCTAGGGAGGACGACGTACATATTTCCGTTCTCCCTCGATGGGTCACTACTCATTGGCATTGTTACTCAACTCCTCACACCGAACGGACGTATTTAGCAGGTCTATTTACATAGCCTCTGTCCTTCTCTTAACACTCATAGCTACAGTGATAAGTTACTTGGAACTGTATCCTAGATAGTTCCTGAATAAATGGATAACAGAAAATTGGGTTTCGCTACTAAAACCCTATATAATATAAATGTTCCGGCCTCATTAACCTAGACAGAATCAGCAGTTAACAGGCCTAGAACAATAGTAGCACCACACTCTTCTAGGTAATTAGCAGGACAGTTCGACAGGTCAAGCGAGGCAGGTTAGCAGTAATGTATATAAAAGTCAGGATCAAGATCTTGGAATTTGACGCCATCATAACAAACGGCGTCATGCATCAAGGGGAGGAAATGCGTCTTGTTCTCCACTACCCAGGCAACATCACAGCCACACTCCAGGTCATTTCCTGAAGGTGAAGACAGAAGATAGGTGTCATGCATCTAGGAAGAATTAAAGTATCAGAAGAAGAAGAAGAATATGTTATGACACTTTTTTTTTCACCCCCTACATCCTTGTGTAAGGTGAAGCGCAGAAGCGTTTACAGCGCCCAACAGGGAAGCATACTAAGTTCATGCTTGCCTTTATGTCTCATGAGTTAAGGGCGTAGAAGTCTGAAGAGTCAAGGGCGTACAAGCCTGAAGAGTCAATGGTTTATGTCATCAAGTTATTGGAAGCTCCAACAACTCCCTGAATACGAATTTGCAGCTTTCGACTTACAACAGGTACCTACTTTACTGCTAGGTGAACAGGGACTAATGGGGGCTAGGAAGTATGTCCAAACAACTTCCACCGGCCCGGGAATCGAACCCGTGACATCTTGCTTGCGAGGCAAGAGCGATACCGCTTCTACCACCGGCCCCCCGTTATGGCAATGTTAACAAAAAACAAGGATGAAGCAGCTATGTCTAAGAACCAGAACGAACGAAGAACAGAGTATGACTGACCTCCAAGTTCGACCTCGACATTCTTATCCAAAAGGGGCCTCCACACCTCCTCCTCAAACGTTCTCAGGGAGTTGAGGAAGAGGGTGATGTAAGACCCCGGAAGCAGACCTGTTGGAAGGAAAGTGATTCATTCATCTTTTAGTCCCATGCAGTATAATATGTCACTCATATAACCTTGAATTATGATACATTTACTGTATTATATATCTTCAGGAAAGCTTTTGATGTTAGATTTTCAAGTGTTTCCCTCTTTCTCTTTGTCTGTCTGTTCTCGTCTCTCTGTTTCTCTGTCTATATATCTGTCTGTCTTTGTATTTCTCTGTGTCTATCTCTATCTCTCTTTGTCTGTCTGTCTCTTTCTCATAGATAATGATTATATTAGTAAGACTGGGGTTACCTGCGAGTAAATAAATCATCTAATATTACACACCTAAATTGCAGGTAAAACATTCATCTACAGCAACTAATGATGACCACTTACACTGTTAAAAAATGTAAGGTGATAGAAATAGTAGACTATATTAGCCAGGGTACTGACCGTACTGTATGGTGTATATTGATGACTAAATTTACCTTCATGCTTAACAAAACACTTTTCTCTGGTCTAGAGAGGTATACTGTACAGATTACACTGATAACTAAGCATACCCATGGTACTGTATGCTTTTATTTCTAACATACCCTTGACCCTTGTACCTTAAACTGGGACGGGTAAGGATTTAATGTAAAATTACAATTAACTCTAGAATACGATCGAATTGTTACACTAAATGCAACAAGAAAACGCTTTTATATGTCTCAAATTCACGTTATACAGAATAAAAATTACGAAATATACTGCTTGGCAGCGATCTGCTTGTTTGCTAGACATAACTATATTAATCTTTACTTTTATCCTCTTTGCCATTGATCGGCTCGTTAGGCGCTTGGACAGTCAGTCACGTCTCTGTTCCGCACTGTTGGTAAGTTCCCTACTGGGCATGCACTGGCTCCTGAATATATTTAAACGGACTCCAGTGCTTATCCAGCCTGGTCTTGAAAGAGCTCACACTCGGTGTCGTCACAACACTCTCTGGCAGATTGTTCTAAGAGTTCACAACTTTCACTCCGAAAAAGTTACCCCTCACAATTTTCTGGGCTTGTGGCTTCTTCAACCTTGAGCTGTGACCCCTTGTGGGGCGAGCGTCCGCCAGCTCCAGGTAGGGGCACTCGACTGAGTAGTGCCCTTTGAGATGCTTATACACCTCAATTAGGTCTCTCCTTGCCCGTCTGTAGTATAAGCTAGGCAATTTCAGGTGCTCTAATCTCTCAGGGTAGTTGACAGTCCCTAGCATATATCGGGGACCAGACGGGGTTACAGTACTCCAGACGGGGTGACAATACTCTAGACAGGGAAGCACTTCACTTTTGAAGATCGTTATGAGGGACGGACCGCCTAGATATCTGAACGACCTTCTAATAAGACCTAATAATTTAGTTGCCTGATTTACCTTCTCGCAATGGCCCGAGATTTTCAGCTCATTATCAACGTACACACCTAGGTCCTTTTCACATTCAGTTTCATTTAATGCAGTCGCTTCGTCCCGTTGGGACATATGATACGCCTCCTTGCCGTTGGTACGGTCCCGGTTGCAGCCTCTTACACTTCGAGACACCGAATCTTAGCAGCCATTTCTTCGACCATTCTTGAAGCTCACAGAGATCCTTCTGCAGCTCTTCACAGTCTGCTTGGTTCTTAATTTCCCGAAATAACTTGGCGTCATCCGCAAACATTTGTATAGAGGAGTGTACGTCAGGCATGTCATTTATGAAACAAACAAACAACAGCGGGTCCAATACACTGCCCTGTGGTACCCCGCTTGTAACGGGTACACATGACGATTTCATGCCATTAATCACTACACACTGCTTGCGGTCATGTACAAAGTCTCTGATCCATGCCAGAACATTTCCCCAAATCCCGTACCCTTCCAGTTTAATTTTCAGCCTTTCATGGGGTACCCTGTCGAAAGCCTTGTCAAAATCTAGGTATATATTGTCGATATTACCACCCTGTTCCAGAATTTGGGTCCAAATACCCAATTCCTTGTGCATTTGTGTTAAGCAGGAGCTCCCCAGCATAAAACCGTGTTGACAGTCGCCTCTCTCCAGTCTGGAGTATAAGCTAGGTAGTTGCAGGCGCTCCATTATCTCTGGGCAACTGAGGTCCCATAGAGCGAGCACCAGTCTGGTGGACTCCTTTGGACATTTTCAATCAAGTGACAGTCTCGAGCATACCTCGGGGACCAGACGGGGTGACAGTACTCCAGACAGGGGAAGGAATTCACTCCTGAAGATCGTGTGAGCGACGGACCATCCAGCTATCTTAACGACCTTCTTACAAGACCTACTAGTTTCGCTGTGTGTTCCACCTTCTTCTCACAATGGCCTGAGAACTTAAATTCATTGTCGACATACACACCCAGGTCATTTTCACATTCGGTCTCAATTAATGTAGTCTCTTCGTCCTGTTGGGACATGTGATATACCTTCATACTGTTGGTGCGACCCAGATGCACCCTTTTGCACTTCGTGACATTGAATCTTAGCAGCCATTTTCTCGACCATTCTTAAAGCTCATAGAGATCTTTCTGCAGCTCTTCACAGTCGGTTTCATTTTGAATTTCCCTAAATAAATTGGTATCGTCCGCAAACATTTGTATGGAGGAATGTATAGCTTCTGGCATATCATTAATGAAGCAGACAAACAACAACGGGCCCAATACCCTGCCCTGTGATACCCCACTTGTCAAAGGTACACATGAAGATTTCGTACCATTTATCACCACACACTGTTTGCAGTCGTGCATAAAGTCCCCGATCCACGCAAGGACACTTCCCCGAATCCCGTACCCTCCCAGTTTAATTCTCAGCCTTTCATAGGGTACGTTATCGAAATGCCTTGGCAAAATCTAGGTATACATTGTCGATATTGCCACCCTGTTCCAAAATTTGGGTCCAAATATCCAGTACCTTGAGTAATGTTAAACAGGAGCGTCCCGGCATAAAATCAGAAAGTGTTGTGACTGCACCGAGTGTGAGCTCTTTCAAGACTAAACTTGACCAACACTGGAGCAGGTTCAGGTACATTCAGGAGCCGGTGCATGCCCAGTGCTTGCCAACAGTGCATAACAGAGACGTGACCGATCGCCCAAGCGGCTAACGAGCCGATCAGTGGTGAAGAGGATAAAAGAAAAAAGACCTTGCTCACAATCCGCTTCTGAAACCCATTCAGCCCCTTTACACTCTGCCTTTGCTTGGTTCCTGGCCTTTTCATACATCCTCTTTTCCTGCTCATCATTTGTCTTAACCCACGTCTTGAATTTCTGAATTTTCTTTTTAACTTTTTCGACTGCCACATAGTTATGTTGTGGGGTACGGGTTGTTTGGTTCACACTCAGGATGGGATGGAGAAAGGCAACTCACAATGTGCTCTCTGTATACATATTGTATTGGATGTACAGTGCAGCTTGGTGCTGGGAAGTGGCAGCGTGGTTACAAGCGTGATGTAGAGAGAGCTGGTTGGTGAGGGTGCTCAGAGGACAGCTTGTGGGTCGCCATGCTCGCCGGCGGGAGCGAGGGCCGCCAGGCAGGAGTAGAGGAGGTGTTGCTTGCTGCGGCTGTAGGTAGAAAGAGGGGTAGGTCACCACGAGGTCAGGTCTTATATAGCGGAGGTAGGCGTGGCTTAACAGTTGACCCCCGCTCCGTGGGCGGCGCTGGTTGACCTACACCATACACTGGGGAATTCGCGGGGTCGGCTACTCAGCGACAAGCCATGAACTATGAACAATATAATAGTATACCCAGTATAAACAATATGTTTATCTATTAATTATGTCATTATTTTTATATTCATATTAAAGTCAAGAAAATTTAATTTAGAAAAGAAATAATAGTCCCGTATTCCACAGTCATAATATTTACCTCAGTGGCCACCTGTCATCCACGCCTCACCTCCACACAGGGAGTGTTGCCATCCTCTGACTGCTCCCTCACAGCCTCACCTCCACACAGGGAGTGTTGCCATCCTCTGACTGCTCCTCACAGCCTCACCTCCACACAGGGAGTGTTGCCATCCTCTGACTGCTCCCTCACAGCCTCACCTCACACACAGGGAGTGTTGCCATCCTCTGACTGCTCCCTCACAGCCTCACCTCCACACAGGGAGTGTTGCCATCCTCTGACTGCTCCCTCACAGCCTCACCTCCACACAGGGAGTGTTGCCATCCTCTGACTGCTCCCTCACAGCCTCACCTCCACACAGGGAGTGTTGCCATCCTCTGACCTCAGCCTCACCTCCACACAGGACTGCAGCTTGCCATCCTCTGACTGCTCCCTCACAGCCTCACCTCCACACAGGGAGTGTTGCCATCCTCTGACTGCTCCCTCACAGCCTCACCTCCACACAGGGAGTGTTGCCATCCTCTGACTGCTCCCTCACAGCCTCACCTCCACACAGGGAGTGTTGCCATCCTCTGACTGCTCTCTCACATCAACCACCGATTTCTGCATTTACAACTGTTTAAGGTAAGAACTATAAACTAATTAACCCTTTGAGAGCTAATCAATCTTCACCAAGCTGAGTATCTTTGTTATTATGTATTGGCAGTGGATATTTTGCTTAACCATCTATGTTCCTACTAGCTATTTTAAGAGTCATATTAAACAGAAAGTATGTTACTTAGCCAATCAGAGTGCACTCACGGTAAAATAACGTTAGTAAGAACTTAGGGTAAATTTGCATAAGTGCACACAACTGTAGCAAGTAAAAAATATGTTTTTCCAGTGTATTTGGGTGTGTTTAGATCTGTTATAACTTTCATTTCCGTAGGAAATTGGCCGTTTTATTTTTACTTTGGTATTATTGTGTTTAAACATTCCATATTCCTATCACTAATCTATTATCATATTCTAATAAGGCATCTAATTATAAGATCATTTTCATCTATTACATTACCGTTGCAAATGTATAATAACGGAGAGCGCAAATCCAAAATTTTCTCGATTTTCTTCCATTAATCTCCGCCATTTATCGTCTACCTTACCTCTCACACTGCATGTCTCCTGCATGTCTCCTTCATAAATCATCACGCTCATGCGTTCCTGTACACGTCACGCGACCAATCAAAAGCGCTTTTTTTCTTGCAACCAATTAAAATGATTTGGGGTTTAATTCGCGGTATTTTTGGCCCAATCAAATTCGAGTTTTATTTTGGGTCTCATATTTCAAAATTCAAGTTCAGTTCCAACCGTGGAAGTCTGCGATGGGTGTCACTTAAATTATATGGAGCTGATTGCGAGTTTTTGGGAAAAAACTAAGAAACTATAGCGTTTTTTTGATCGCATGGTGTTCTTCCAACCTCAGTAAAGCGGTCCGACTAATTACCCAAATGTACCCAAATGTAGCCGCAGTGAAGTCAAATAATGGTCCTACATGAATAAATCGGACTGCCAACCACTTCTCGAATAGTATTTGGTGTCACGAAGTCACAAAAAAATGGAAAACTTAATTTAAACTGGGTTAATAGATCGCGTGCTTGTACCGAGGGAGCGAGTTATTACCCAAATGCAGTCGCAATGAAGTCAAATGATGGTCCTACAAGCGTAAATCGGGCTGTGAATCACTTCTCGATTATTATTTGGTGTCATAAAGTCACAAAAAATTGGTAAACTTAATTTAATCTGAGTTGTGTTAGGTTAGGTTAGATTAGGTTAGGTACATGCACTCGATCTATTAACTCAGATTAAATTAAGTTTACCAATTTTTTGTGACTTGGTGAAACCAAATACTAGTCGACAAGTGATTGGCAGTCCGATTTACGCTTGTAGGACCATTGTCAGTCCCACTCACAACCTAATATCGAACGGACGTTGATTCACGTCTATTTACATAGATGCCGTCCCTTTCTCACCACACTCATAAATAGTGGAACTTATGGTTGATCTACACTCAGGAATTATATACATAATACTTTTTAATAAAACAAGAAACTTCAATTGGGTTTTGTTACTGAAGCCCAATATAATACAGTATATGTGAACCAACCTGGTTAACTTGGAATTAACCAACCGGATCAATATCATTGTACAGTAGGGTCGGCATATGTTGCGAGATAGGGTTCAAGGATGCTCGCTATATACTAAATCGCGATATATAATTACATGTAATCAATGGGGAAAATAGGGTCAGGTTCTGGAGGCCAAGAAAAGTCACTAAACTTGACTTAACGAGTTCACTTTCTTACTAACTTAAGCACCAATGAACACTAGACTCAGGAACAACAGGCTGTTTCAATATCAATATCAAGGAACGCCGGACTCAGGAACACTAAGACTCAGCAGCTGACGCTCCATCCTGGGAGCATCTGACTCGGCAGTAGACTCCACACTGCCATGCTCACTTGACAATCCCACACCTACATAAACAAACACCAAATATATTACTTACAGTATTAAATCTTTTCCATTAAGCTTTCCATTATCTTCACTTCAATTTTCACGTCACAAGCAACCCATTTACACTCACCTTAGAAGTCGTAATCTGCATCAGAGTCGGCTGCTTTGTCATCACTCACTCAGAAAGACTGAGTGAGCGAGCGAGCGTGAATGCGTGAGTGAACAGCCACGGTGGCGCCTCAGGTGAGCAAATAACGCATTGTTTGCCGTGGCGGTACATTTGAAATATTTCCTGTCCGATTTCCCTCACAAAATATAAAAAATTATTGCTATATATGGGAAAATGTCGATAATTTTGGAAGCCACAATATAAAAAATTTTTTATATAAAGTCGCGACATATCCCGACCCTACTGTATCATAGCGGGATAATCATCTTAATATATTTCGTGTGACAGCAAAGTACACGTAGTAGTAGTAGTAGTATGTGTGTGTGTGTTTTTTTTTTTTTTTTTTCGTGTGTGTAAATGCACTCCCGACTGCACAGAACTAGGATCTCACCAGCGAAGGCGTTGACCTCAACAAAGTTCACATGGGATGACGTCAGGTCAAATTGGACGGGAAAGTTGGTGGTCAAGAGGAAAGTATCTTGTGTGAGGTTATGTAAGATGTTATTTATCAGGATGATCTTCCTCAAGTTTTTCAGATTAGCAAACGTATCTGAAGATGAAAAAGAGGAAAGTTAGATGCCTGGAGAAGAGAGTGGAGGAGATAATTTATCTGCATCTTTCTCTCGCTCTCCATCCCCTGCTTTCCAATAGAGGAGAAAGATTATGGAAGCCTGAGAAACTATTTCAGTGACCATATCTTGTAGAAAGCAACTCACAATAAACAAGGTATAATATTGGTACTTGAAGTTATCTAATAGTAAATGCACTAATCTATTTATTTATATTTTTTTTGTGTGTGTGCGTATGTACATTATCAATATGATATGAAATAATAGTACTGTACCTGCTGGAAGATAGTTGAGGCAGACATGAGCTAGATGAACTTCCTCTAAACTGGAGAGGCCAACCAGGGTGTCGGCTGACATACGAGACAAGAAATTGTGATTCAGTGACAGCGTCTTCAGGCTCCCAGACGTCAGTGGAGTTAAGGATGTCAGATTGTTGGAGCTTAGGTCGAGTGTCTCTAGTAAGGTGAAGTTGGACACCTCCTGGAAGGGGAAGCTTTTGATTTGGTTATCCGAGAGGTCGAGGATACGCAAAGTCGAGTAGCTGTTAACAAGGGCATAATCTGACACATTTTGTAAGACCCCTCTTGTGATGATGATCTCCTCGAACTGGATGTCCCCGAAGACATTGTCTAACAGGAAATATAGTGAAGGGTTGTCATAGATGGTAAGCTTACGGAAGTGCTTAAAGGGGAAAGGATAAAAATTGAATATTTCAAAAAGTAATGTCGAATTTTTCACATTAGAACAGTCAAGGTCCATTTGATAGTCATCCTCATCATAAACACACATGCAAGGGGAGATGTCTTCAGGCCTTGGGCAAGGCCTCCTTGGCATTAGATCAACAAGTTGTAACCTACTGTTGACCTCTATGACTTCTTTGAACCAGAAGAATGAGAAGTAACACAAGACACTTTCAGAACACTTCATCGTGGAAAGAATAGTTTGTACACAGTGTAATCTGATCTGCGGTGCAGAGCGAGGTTCACCCAGGTTATATGCAACTGCCTGTAGTGCTTTTGATAAAAGGGGAGTTGGTGGGGGATGTACTGGAGTAACGGAGGGAAGTGTTAGTATGTGTGGTACTGGGTTTGTGTCACTGCAACCTACTTAAGTACAGTAATACCTGTTATCAGTTCTCTATTTCTTCACTTACCATGTGCTGTTTCCCATAAGACCTCACTTTGACTACAACTCTATCAGCGTTCTCACTACTGATATCATTTGAATTAATTTGTACTTACTGCCATAACTGTCACTAGTACATGGCTGCATATCACTTGTACTATGGCCACACCTGTCAGTGCTATGGCCACACCTGTCAGTACTATGGCCACAACTGTCACTAGTACTATGACCACATCTGTCACTAGTACTATGGCTACACCTGTTACTAGTACTGTAGTCACATGTGTCACTAGTTTTATGGCCACACCTGTCACTAGTAATAATAATAATGATTACGTATTATTATTGTTGTTGGTGATGTTAGTAGAAGTATTATTATTGTTATTATTAGTAGTAGTGGTGGTAATAATAGTACTCATATTTCACACTTGTATAATGGTATAGGTAAAGATGAATCTTAATTTAATAATACAACATTTATATCAGAGGGTATAAATAATCTACTTTTGCTGCTGTTTGAACCTGAGGGATACCATTTTGGGTATTGTACTCAGACACATGCACACTACTTTGTCACATTGTACTGTAACACTTGAAAGGTTCAGCTATTTTACTGTAGTTGTTGCTCTCACAGTCAATTTATTCCATTTCTTGGTTTTTTCTTGCTGAAATGAGATTTTGTCTGTCATATATGTAGGTCTGTTATATGTGTAGTCTGTTATATATGTAGTCTGTTAAATGTGTAGTCTATTAACTGTTATATGTGTAGTCTTTTAAATGTGTAGCCTTTTAAATGTGTAGTCTGTTATATGTGTAGTCTGTTATATGTGTATGCTAGTCTGTTAAATGTGTAGGTCTGTTATATGTGTAGTCTGTTATATGTGTATGCTAGTCTGTTAAATGTGTAGGTCTGTTATATGTGTAGTCTGTTATATGTGTAATCTGTTAAATGCGTAGTCTGTTATATGTGTAGTCTGTTAAATGTTTTAATTATTTTGTATAGGGAATACATTAAATAACAGGAATAAAAAAAATAAAAAGGTTAAAAAAAGACTCATTGTATCAGAACTTTATATATACGTACATATATTTATTTATATTCACATTCTTTATATTTAGTAGAGGTCAGAGGAGCCAGATACAAACACGAACATGAGACCACATACAGCAAAGCCCAGTTGATGCTTCTTGAGAGAGAGTGTCAGTCAGTCTTCGTTGATACGACACTCGGGGTGGTGTTCCTTGACCCTGGGAAAACTTAACCCAAGGAGGATACTCTTACCCAGAGGGAGCTAAGTCTTACCCACATAGAGACATAGTTACCTTACAAGTATATAATTAACCTCTGAAACAGACACCTCTAGCATAACTTCTGTCCATTTGGTGGGGGAAGTGGGGAGGTGTTTCTGTTTATGTAGCAACGTTTATCTCGCTGGTACTGATACAACACCCGATATTTCGTTATTTCTGTCATGTTAAGAACATTAGTATTGATAACTTCCACTCGCATAAACCTTTCACAGACAATCATACGTTCGTTAACCAATGTAGATCACTCGGCAAATACCGCATATATAGACCTGTATGCTTCTCTATCACTGTTCTGTAATAGATGACAATTATTGTTTTCTATACCCTGTACCTGTACATGAAGGGCCATCTTGAAGAGATAACTCAAGCAGAATGAGGTAGCCCTTTAATTTGTCACATTCTGGTGTCTACAGATTGCCGGAAATACTTGAAGAGTTTTGTTGGTGATGCTTAAACGTTCCTAACAAGATGGGAGATAAAGTATGAAGATTCTAAAGGCTTTTTGAAGACCACTGAGATTAAATGTTTCTTTGGCAATGATGGATGTCAGTGAGGAATAAAAAAGATGAATCAGGATAATTTTGGGTGTGGTGTAAGGATATGAGACATGGCATGGACTTAGAGGACATAAAGTGAACATAGATATACAGTTCATAACTATCCAGATATACAGGCACCCAACTCTACCCAGATATTGTATGAACAGCTGTCATTGCTTTATTCCCAGTGTCTTGATAGATAAAACTCAGTTGACAAAAACTATATAATATAATTAATCTTTTCTATGATATTACAACGAGATTGGCGAATGGTAATATTACATAGTTACACGATTAAGTTTATTAATGAATGACATAAATACAATGACAAATGAATTATTATTTTGTGATATATCCTTGGGGAAGTTTATAGTTTTTGTGTCATTATAGTGAAAATAAAGGTCAACTATATATACAACATACAGCAAGATAACATGATGAGCATCGGTTTCATTCTTCCAGATTTAATGTCAATATTCCCCTCTAAGATCACAGTCAGAAGACACACTGTTGGATGTTTGTCTTGTTCTGTGTGAAGGTTCACTCAAGATAACACAGTTTTTTCCTGCATCTTTTTTTATAAATAGGAGATAAAACTTTCACATTTGTCTGGCTCACACAAAACATTTGAGACAACATAAACTCTAAATCAGCACTTTCATAACTTTGTGCTTTTTTGAACTGGAATTCAAAATCACACATTTTTTTTTGTGGGGGTTAGGCCTGACTATTAGCATCCACAGTCCACAACAACAAGAGTACTAAGTCTTTCTGAATTGCTCGAGGATGGTGTCATTTATATTTTCAGGGAACCACCATTCTCTTTTCAGTACCACAAGTTTATTGCTAAGAGAAAGACATAATATTTTGAGTTTGATATTTAAATCTTGAAGAACTTCTTTAACTTGATACATTATGATGACCTACAATTTATCGTGTGAGCCGTGGTGTACGTACAACTACTACCAAAATTCCACGAAAGTCGATGACTGGACTGTACCTTACCGTCTTCCTACAACTGTATGGTAGGGCAGAGGAGGCACCTGTAATTGATGAATTTGACACGGTACACCCAAAAATCATATCCGGTCAACCTAATATGGTGGCACACTGTAAGCTTTTGAGAGGTGGTGTGGAAGTTGAGATATATTAAAGGGAAAGTCTCTCCTTCTTTATATTGTTTCTGCATAGTGTTTCTCCTTACTAGATGTGAGGCATCACTTTGGGGTTTCTTGAAGGAACTTGAGACTTCTTATCTTTTAGTATTTAACAGCATTCCTGACATAGTTGTAGTTTGGGTCTCTTTGGGCTTCTTTGTTAAGGTTTAGGAACTTTAGGTATCAATCTTCTTCATCTGTGATGAGTAGAATTCCTTATGGGGTTCCAATTTTATTGGCCTTGGTGACAAGTGAGTTTCTATTGAGGCTGAGATAATTCCTTACATGTGTTTTAGGCCATAGTTGGAACCTACTTGGTGAGATTCTTCCAGTGATGGGTGACATTTGCAGCTTCCTTGTTAACGGTTCCAGGCTTTGGTATTGCCAAAGATAAGTATACTGTAGTGTTCTTGTCGAGGGATCCAATTTCTCTGGTGAGGTTCAGGCTTCGGTTCTACTCTCCGCCGGGGCAGAGTGGAGCTCCTGCCTGGCTTCAGGGATGAGTGTCTCGGGTTCAATAGTTTCAGGGGCAGAGGCGGAACGTTCAGGAGGCACCACCACCGCCTCCTCTTCCACCACCTCTTCCTTCGTTGGGGACTGTGACGGCGCTGGGACGGGGGTGGTCGGCTGCAAAGACAAGCAAAATCAACCACCACAATACACCCAAACCAACAATTTACCACACTACCCAACTTCATCTACAGCACATGCAGTATACAGCCATGCAATAAAAGAGGTAATGGGAATGAAAACAAAAGACATTCGCTTGAACACATGCCAGATAGGAGAAAGACACAGACCTTGATACTGAAGGTGAGGTGATACTTCTTGTTCTTATCGAGGATATCTGTGGGCAGGATGATCTGCTGCCTCGCCTGCCCGTGCTGTCCGGAGGGAGGGAGACTGGCATTACACGCCTCGACAAAGGGCTTCTGGAGGTAAGTGTGTTTAGTCGCTGTCTAACCCCCATCTCTATTTAGTACCCTCCTTCTCACCCTCTGTCATCTCTTAACAGAGAGAGAGAGAGACATAGACAGAGAGAAACAGAGAGAGTTTTACCTTTCTCCTCTCGGAACCCTTCCTGTTGTAGGTCAAATTCTTCCTCACCTAACTTACCTTAATGTTCCCTAATCTAACCTAACTTAGTCATTATTCTTACTTAAGCTAAACTAAATCCTAACCTAACTTACCTAACCTATCCTATCCTATCCTATCCTATCCTATCCCATCCCATCCTATCCCATCCCATCCCACCCCATCCTAACTTAAATCATAACCTTACCTAACCCAACTCTACCCAATCAAACCGAATTTGTTCATAACATTACATAATAAAATTTTACCTAATATAACCTAACTTAAGCATAACCTAACCTAACTTAAGCTAACTTCACTTAGTCTAACTTAACTTGAGCATAATATAACCTAATCTAAGCTAACTTCACTTAGTCTAACATAACTCGAGCATAACCTAACTTACTTAACCTAACCCAACTTACTTAACCTAACCTATCTTACCTAACTTAACCTAATCTAACTGAATTATACCCTCAGCTAACCTTTTCTTAACCTATTCTAACGTACACTAAAATTACTTAACACTTACACTTAGAAAACTTAACAAGATTTTGTTTAATGTTTTTATTTTGGTGATTGGATTTTGTTCATTGGGATTTTTTCCAGTGGAATTTTGTTCATTGGGATTTTATTTGGTGGAATTTTATTTTGTGAGTTTTTTCATTGGGATTTTATTCAGTGGGATTTTTTTTTAATGTAAAAAAATTTTGGTGAAATTTTATTTAGTGCTCTTCCATAACAAACAAAAAAGCATATCAGGTTTATGTGTGTGATTTTGTGCTTTACTGTATTTAGAGGAAATAGAAATTTCCCCGTGTTTGAGATATTGATATATCATGAGAGACAGTGCCATATTAACCAGTATGTGATGAGGGAGAGATGAACTGCATTATTAATCAGAGATATGACTTGAAAGAGCAAGAAAGAGAGAGAGAGAGAAATTGTCATAGTAACCAGTGTGTAATATGCTGTGAGAGAGAGAATAAGTGTGGGTGTCATACAAATGCACATCATCCATTGTGGGGTCAATACGTGGAGAGAAATATAGTCCACCAGGGAAGGAAAAACAAACAAAATATATCAATATAAAATAAATTAATCACTTGTGTTAGAGAATTCCATTGGTTTAATTTTTCTTCTTCAAGTTATTATTGCAACTTGCTTAGCTGCAACATCTCATGGTTTCTTAAAGAGATATATTTTCAGCTGAGACATGCAAAAATTATTATTGTTTTATTAGAAACATGCAGGAGAAGTTCATTACACATCCAGGAACTACACATTCTAATATTTAAAAAAAAAATACCGAGAGTATGAGAATATTTTTATCTTTCTCTTTTAGCACGTAGAGATAATGTAGAAGGTATAGAGAGTGTTCCTTGACCTCTTCTCTTTGACTTTTGTGCATCAAGGAGGAGGTGTAAAGTGTTTGTTTGTGTGTATGTACTATGTGTGTTGTATGTGTTTGTGTGTGTGTGTATATGATAGATGAGAAAGGAACATACTCGTGTCTACCTTGTCGTTCAACACAACATTCTCATTGTGAATTCATGTCAAAATTTGAAGAAGAAAAAGGAGATGATTTTTTTAAAACCTTTGCGCAAACTTAAAACAGGACATGTGAGAGGTGCTGAGGAAACATTACACTGTACACACACACTTCATTTTATTAGTGTCCTTATCTCTGATTCTCAAAGTTTCCTACAATAAAATTCTTCCTCTCTCTCTTACCTTTGCTGGTGATGAGTTCCATTGAGATAAACATAACAGAAACAAAACAGCATCAAAATTACACAGACTCTACCGTAGTGTATTAACTCACCACCAGGTGGGGATTAAGAGGGAGGGATTATTATGGTAAGAATCTTTGAGAATCAAGTGTTGGTGGTATTCAGTCACTGAGTCTTAAGTGTTTGTACGGACTAGAGCAAAAGTTCCGCCCTGAATTACCGCTACTGCCTGTACTGTAAATATTCTTCTACTTACAAAACAAAGCAAAATGAAAACTTTGGGAGTTTCTACTTAAGATACAAGAGCCCAGTACTTAAGTACTTATAGAAATAAAGCTCTAAAGTGTATATTTGTACATTTAATTTATGTGGTTCTACTTATACTGTACTTGATGCAAAATATACATATAAAAGATTATTAGCATTTGTTTAAAATTACTTATAAACGAATCCAACGGGTTTAGTCATTTAATTAATTTTGTAAAACATTTATTTTCATTGTTCATACTGAAGTGAATTAATGATAAACATTTTTAAATTATTATTTCTAAAATGTGATATATAATAAATTTATACCGTATTTAATTTATATGTAAGAAACCGTAAATAAGATTATCCTAATTTAGTACTTGAAGGTAAATCTGCTGATGCTCCTTTTAATTAAATGGACAAGAGAGAGGATAAGCTTGTTGTGTGTTCATGTGTTTTGATGCAACTAAAGTTAGAACTGTCACAGATCAAATAGGCTCCAGCCCTAATAGGCCCCAAACTGACCCAATGCAAAATATTAGGTAAAATATTAGCATTAGGGTCAATTAAGCTTAAGGGATATTAATTCTAAAGGGTTAAGTTAACTTGATATTATTAAGTTGGGGTTTATTAAGGTAGTATAAGAGCCATGTGACTTGTTGCCCCTTCATTGTTACTAAACATATGAATCTTCTTAAGTCTGGGAACTCAGGTGAGATATTGTGAGCAACACCTCCCTCCCTCTCACCTTCAATGAGTAAATAAAAAAAAAAGCTTTATCAGCTCTACCCCTTAACCCCTTACCTGTAGCTCTACGGTGAGCGGCTTCTTCGGGTCGTAGTTCCTGAGGCCCACGGGTTCCCCTGGCTTGCCCCAGTTCCCTGCATTGTCTAAGGGCGGCCCTGGAGAACCCCCTAAGGACGACCCGCTTCCATTGGTGGTGTTGGTCGTTCCGGCTATCCTAGGGAGCGACACCTGCTTGTTGTTGTTGTTGTTAATGTTGTTGCTCCCTGATCGCCTCTTGGTTCGGTAGCCAACTGTGCGTGTGTGGTGGTGATGGAGGTACATTAGAGAGAGGGAGAGACTGACAGCTAAATAGACACAGCCAGACATATAGACAAACAATGATACAGACAGAGACACAGGACTGAAAGATAGGATGTATACTAGAAGAATACTGAGTAAAAAAAACAGACAGATGCCAACAGACAGTCAGAAAATTACCAAAAAAGAGACATGGTAGGAAAGGTATTGATAGACAAATAGACAGAGATACTGCACTAAAGTGAGACAGAAGGCAGACATACTGGGATAAACAGACAAGATGTAGACACAGAAAGACATGCAAAGAGTGACTGACTAACAGGTACACAGACCTAAAATCAAACAAGAGAAAAAAAAACACACACACACATACGTAACACTATTACTACTACTTTGCTGTCACTCGGAATCATCCAGCTATTAGACAATGATATGAGTTATTAAGGATGTCACCTTTGTTAGTTAGCTCTGAGGTGACTAGAAAGACCGATATGGGACTGGCAGGGTTGTCCACGGATGTTGCACATGTGGAGGGCTACATCTAGTGCGGGAGGAGCTGCTGCAGCGTCTTTCCGGTGTCTGCCTAGGTATGCAGTCAGGCTAACTCGGAAGTATTGGCACCTTCTCGTGTGGTACTCCTCCAAGCATTACGGTGTGGAATAATCGTCTCCCAGGTGAGGGGGTCGATTTGGCACTTTTTCAGGTTTGTCTTAAGACTACCCTTATACAGTACTTTTTCAATTGCCCATTGTGATTGGCTGCCTCGGGGGGTATGGTCCGAGGGGGACACGCTGTCATTGGCTCGCGCTCCTCTCGCTTTGAACGAGATGTTGCCTCTTTCTTGCACTGAGCACGCAGCCAGATATGTAGCTCCAGGCCTGAGGTGAAATCACACCTTATTTTTTAAGGAATTTCTACCATATTTCTATTCTAGCTAGGGGGTTACATCCAATGCCAACATGTAGAGGAAGGATGAAAATAGTGATATCCATAAAAAAACGCATTTTGGCTGGGGTGTCGCTTCATCCCCTTCTGACTCGGAGCGCCTCAATTCTCCCTATGATTCTCTGCCAAATGTCAACATCTCTGCTAACTCTGGCATTGAAGTCACCAAGGAGCCCACCCTTATCTTCTCTGGTTATAGAGGTTAGCACTGTCATGGTCGATATAAAAGGCCTCCTTGATGTCATCCTCTGCATCTAGTGTTGGGGGCGTATGCACTGATGAAGAAGGCACAACGTGAGTGATTTAGTGGGACTCGGAGTGTCATGAGTCATTCATTAATCCCAACAGGCATTTCAGTTAGCCTGTGTAGGATGCATTGGCAGATGGCAAAGCCAACTCCATAAATGTGGTTTCTCTCAGCAGCAACAGAAGGTACAGCCAGAACCCCGTTCTGTGAATCGACCTTCATCTGGGAGCTGGGACTCACTAATGGCTGCTATGTCAATGTTATACCTAGCCAGCTCTTTTGCCATAGAGGCAGGTCTTCTTTCAGGATGCTCATTTGTGCCAGCATGCAGAAGGGTCCTGACATTCCATGCAGCAACCATAAGAGGTTATATAGTCTGTTATTGTTTTCATCACACACACACACACACACACACACAGTGACTAACAAAAAGAAATATACAGTACACCCACCAGGTACAAAACACTCACTATAGGCAGCACAGGGGACCCCAGTATAGGCATGGGCAGCGTGGTGACAGCGGTGGGTGGTGTGGTTGCAGACGCTGGCATCACGGGGCGTCATCAGTGGCTCTGGCAGTTCTCTTCTCTCCGCCCGGCGTATCGCTCTGCTCAGCCGCTCCACGTCGTCTGTTGGTCTGAAGGCTGGGATCTTTACCCCCTGTGAGCTCTGAAGGAACCTTAGTTGGTCTGTGGGAGAGAAGAAGGAGTTAACTGCTGTGTGTGTGTGTTTACATATTTATTTCAAACTTTTCAACAACAACAAAATAGAACCAATAAACAAAGTTGCTTGAAGCTCCTTTTACACTAGTATTTGAGATAAATTTTGCTAAGTTCAATGAAGTTAACAGGAAGAAGCTGCTAAACCTGCTACAATTGTTTCAGCAGCAACAAACTTTATAAAAGGAAACTACTGCTCCATGGATGAGAGAGTAGCGCCACCCACCATACAGATACTTCTCGTAGCTGTTGAAGTTGTAGGGGCCGCCATAGCCTCGTAGACCCAGCAGGTTTCCCTCTTTCTGGAAGGTCTCCACCATCCTCTTGATCATGACGTGCTCATTGGCTCGGGTGTTGCGAATCTGTATGCGCTTTAAATCCAGCAGTTGTTGGAAGAGGCGTCGCTCAAGGGCGTACTTCCGCATGGTGTTCTGCATGGCCTGGGTGATGGACACCTCCGTGGAGGGAGATGCTGCCTTACGTGGCCGACGCTTGAGGTTCGATTCCATATTCTCTACCTGAGCCAGGAAGATGTATACACATGTAATTTAAAGTGTATAAAGAATATAGGTTATGCAGAGTCTTTGGAATGCTGGGTTATAGTGCCTGGCCATTACTTTTAGTCTAGATAACACTAAGTCTCCGAGACAGCCTTCCTTTACCTTCCTCCACTTATCATGACGGGGTTCCATCCCGACGACCAGGTCATAAGTTGATTTGGTCGTAAGTCGAAAAGGCAAAAATAATACATAGAAATTCTAAAATGAAATACAGTACAGATAAAAATTAATTAATAATGAAAAATTAATAAAGTGTTACTGTGCATTTACCTTTAATGTAGTCAACTGAATGTGTACGGGGCCTCAATATTTTTTTGATTACCTAAGCATGTAGACTACATTAATTGGATGAAGCAGGGGAGGAGACAGGGCTGGGTGGGTCATCAAGTTCACTTTCTTCAGACAGGCTAACATACTTGCTTGTTGAAGGTATTGGATCATCTTTAGGGAGTGAAGAGTCAGCAGTGGTGGGGAGTGAGGAGACAGCAGTGGGGGACTTCTTAAAAAATATGTCCAATTTAGACTGCACAGTTAGCTGTTTCTTTTCATTGTAAATTTCCCTGTAGCAAGTAACTGCAACTTGGATCAATCTGTCAACTTTTGCAAAACGTTCAAGATTTTGATCCATTTCTTCAAACATTTGCATCCCCTTATTAATACTGTAGTAGCAAATGCCTCTGCCATTTGTCTCACTGAACACTTTTTCGTGGGTGCAGGTTCTTCTTTTACATTTTGTCTCTCTTCTTCCTCTGCAAATTTCTGTGCTTCCAGTTCAATAAGATCCTCGTTACTTAGCTCTTCTGCTACACTTTCCACCAACTGCTCAACATCTTCATTTTCAATTTCTAACTCCAGATGTTTACCCATCTGCACTATCTTGTAACTAATCTCAGAAATTGCTTCATCTTCATTAAATCCTTTGAAACTGTTCACATATCTTTTCAGGACTTTCTTCCATATTCCATTCATACACTGACCTGTAACCTCATCCCATGTTGCAGCTATGTTCTCTTTACATTGCAAAATGTTGTCGTCCTTCCAAAACTCTCTGAGCGTTTTCTCACCTTCAGTAGCAGCAATAGCCTGAGCGAAGGTCGTACGTAAATAATATGCTTTAAAAGCAGCAATAGCACCTTGATCCATGGGTTGGATGATAGAGGTAGTGTTAGGTGGAAGGTAGACTACCTTAACATCAGGGTGCAGGTCGTCCAGGTGTGGTGGGTGTCCCGGAGCATTATCTAAAATTAATAAAATCTTGAAGGCAACCACTTGTTGCAGACAATACTCCTTGGCTTGTGGAATGAAACAACTCAGGAACCAATCCTCAAACAGTGCTAGGGTTATCCATACTTTCTTATTACTGTTATAATGGCAGTGTGTGCTTGCTAACATTTTTAAAAGCCCTTGGGCAGTGGTGGGCACAGCTAAACAGACCTAGAGAGCTGAAATTTTCATATGTTGTCTTGTAGCTTAGACATAGAGCTTTCCAAAAAGGTATAGCATGCCAAGATCAGATGATGATCAAGGTGTACACAAATAATTTAATGAACAAATGAAATTAAACATTAGTTTACATTCAAGTTTCAACTTAGTACACTTTATAGTCTTTATTTACTGTACAAAAAGACAGAAAGTATTAAACGAATCCAAAAACTATAGTACTGTATAGCATAGTTAGCAAATAGCATCATGTCAAGATCAGATGATGATCAACTTATCAAGGTGTACACTGTACACAATTTCACAAATAATTAATTTGCATTCTCATACAACCTATTGGCCTTTTTCATTATTCATGTAAATATGCAATACCAACCACATACACATTATACCAGTGCATTTTTATATAACTTATTGTTGGTCTTAGTCATTATACCAGTACATTTTTATATAACTTATTGTTGGTCTTAGTCATGTAAATAAACAGAAAACTCTAAACTTTAATGAAAAGTAAGTTTTTAGAAATTTTGTTTGGCACACACCTTGGATGACATCCTGGTTATGAACTTATGCAGTACTTAGCATACCGGTAACCAAATATATTGACACAAAAAAATTCCTAATTAAATTAACAAATAAATGAGAAATGAAATTATACATTAGTTGACAATTACATTCGACAAATCATGTCGTCACGTTTACACGTACTAACACGCAGTCAGCCAAGCGTGCCTGACTGGCTGTTGGAGACGCGTCGCAGCGTCACACGCTTACAACAGACAGGAACAAACATGTATAAATTTTGTTAGCGGACTTAAAGTTAGCGGAACTAAATTTAGCGGAAGCTAATTGGTCCGCTAATGGTTTTCAAAGTTAGCAAAAACGCTAATCCGCAAACGAGAAAGTTAGCTTCGCCAATTAGCGGATTAGCGGAACTATGCTCTTGGGTTCTCTGAATGGTATATCATGAAGGGTTTTACCTTGAAACCAGCTACATTCCTCCGACAGAAGTGTGATTCGGTCCTCAAATGCCTTGAATCCTGGCATGGTTTTCGCCTCTTTGTGGAAGTATGCCCGTTCTGGCATGCGCTTCCAGAATAAGTCAATTTCATCCACATTAAATATTTGCTTAGGCAAATAATTTCCCTCTACGATGACACGATCTAGCTACTCCTTAAAAGCTTCAGCAGCACCCACATCAGCACTTGCTGCCTCTCCACTCACCTTTACACTGTGCAAATTGTAACTTTTCTTAAACCTTTGGAACCACCCATGACTTGCTGTGAAGTTTTGGTCTCACTCTTCTCCTGCCTGCTTTTTCAGGCTTTCGAAAAGGCTTCTTGCCTTAGCCTGTATGGTTAGAAGGCTTAAGGGTACAGGCTTTTGCAGCTGATCTTACATCCACGTCACAAGTACTGGTAATTTCTCCATCTCATGAAAAGGACCTTGTCTTTTTTTCGTTATTATTGTTCCCTTTATAGGTGTTGATCCTTTCACTACCTCACAAATTCGTTCCTTGTCCTTCAAAATTGTTGATATCATCTAGTGAGAGAAGCCAAGGTTGCATGAAATGGTTGGTACCATTTTTCCATTTTCATATTGCATTATTATTTTAATTTTCATCTTAAAAGTAATTGACTGTCTCTTTTTCTTCTCAGCACCACGAGAACTCTCACTTTTACACTTCCCTGCCATTTTAAAGGGAATTACAAACAAAAATTTTGTCAGAGCACAGCGCGATCACTAACAACAACGATGGCCAAACACCAACTGAGCAGGCTACGACGTGGATGCTGTACACCATGAAGCGGCCCAGCCCAAGCTATTGTATGGGGTCACATTACGACCAAACAACGGGACTCGAAAATATGAATGTGAAAAAATATTTTATACGACCATGGCCGTCATATGTCTGGGTTGTCGTAAGTCGAATATGTCGTAAGTCAAGGAGAGACTGTACATACACATGTCTTCAGTTAAATCCTGACTGTAACAACTGTAAATACAGTAGTATATAATCTTTATCAGTATGAGTCATCCTACTTCAGGTATCTCTCCCTACCACCCCCCCTCCCCCCATATAGGTGTCATCACTGTGAATACACAAAACAGCCATACTAGTCATATCTCTCTCTGCTTTTTTTTTTATAAGAGTGTAATCTATCGTGCACAACCAAACCTGTTCTAGCTTGTCTAAGATTAACCTAACCTAACCTAATTATACATTCCTCACCTTCCTGGGTCCTCCGCTCATGGCACCATTCCTGACCTGACCTCTTCTGACCCCGGGTCGCCTGTGGGTGCTGCCGACTACCCCAAGTTTCTGGAGGGCATCTTCGTCTGCATCTTCGTCATCATAGTAATTATCAAGCTCTCCTTCAGGAACTACGGAGAAATCATCGTCGTCACCTCCTTTGTTACCTCCTCCTCCTCCTTGACTGCCAATTCTTCCCTTGTTGCCTCTACCAGCACGACCTCGACCTCCTTCTCTACTTCCACGTCCTCCTCCAGCATCCTCTTGCCAGTTCTTGCCATCACGTCTTCTGCGGGATCCTCTGCCATCCTGTAGGTGAGGTAGGAGGTGATAAGGGAGAGGGATTGAGAGTAAATAGCCATGTAGATAGGAAAAGGAAAATTGATATGAGCAAATTATAAGCAAAGAATTATGAAGAAGAAAATTAAGGAAGGAAAGATAGAAGAATGAAAAAATGTAGGCGTCACTTACGTCATCATCTTCCACATCACCGTCGGCATCGTCATCACCTTCACCTTCCCTTCCCTCAGCCTGTCCTCCTCCACGTCCCTCTCCATCTTCGGACAAGGCAGCGCCACCTTGTCTCTCCTCTCGCTGCTTGCTCCTCTTTTTCTTCATCCTTGTCTTCCTCCTGGAGCTGTGTTGGGTATCCTCGTCCTCGGTGTGACGCTCAGGATCTGTTGGTCCATCCACGTCGGAGTCACGCTCGACCCCTTGAGCATCGCTGTAGCCTGACTCCTGAAAGAGATGACTCGTAAGAAAGAAACAGACAAGGCCATTTGAGACAATATACAGTACTGTACCCTGTACTGTATGAGGTGCTGGAACATGCATAAGCTGTGTGTTTGAACCTCTAAAACACTTCTAACATTTTGATCAAAGGAACAACGACATGCTAGAAAGATGTCTAAATGGATAAACATGCATGACCAAAAAACACTGAAGAAGCTCTACTTGTCTGAAAGTATTTGTGTCCAAAGGGGACTCTGGGGATAACTGAGTTTCCGTGAGAAGTCTCTTGACTCCGGGTGTAGGAGAATGTGTGGGAGGATGAAGAGGACGGTTATACTCATTCCACAAAGCAATGCCACCACAGACAATGAACAGCGTCTTGCGTTATTCTCCATCCTGTAATGATACAGTGAATGGATGCCACACCAGACGAACGTTCGCCTGCCTTCCTTCCACCCCACAATGACACCCGTTTTTGAAGCTAACCATACGAACGTTCACTCACCTGTCACCAGTGGCATTCTTCTATGGTATGAATATAATGTCACTGAGGGGGGAGGGGGGGACTCTACCTTGTAGCCTGAATCGCCGGTGTCTCTGCCGTGGGTCGAGCTCGGCGAGGACAGCCGAGGTGGAGCGGCGTCCACCATCAGGAGGTTGCGCCCGCTAGACTCCAGCAGCATCTCATGAGTCCGCTCTTCTGCTGTGGACATGCGAGGCCCTTCACCACCCTTCTCCTCCTCCTCCTCGTCCTCATCCTCGTGTTGGTAATCACCCACATGTGGCAGGTCCTCAGAGATACTCACACGGCGAGTTAAGTTTCGTCTTTGTCCATTGCGCCTGTCGTTCATGGCTCGAGTATTACCATTAGCTTGTTTGGATTTCCTGTTGGCACCTCCCTTGGGCTTCCTACCTCCTGTCTTCGAGTTGAGGATCCCTGGACGGATGGCTGACTTTGGACGGACTCGTGAGCCAGTAGCCCTGATGGGTAACTGAATGGTTTCCACTTCCTGACCCTTTACCTCCTGGTGCTCCTCACCTTCTCCCTCACCCCCTTCATTACTGTCTGATGGTTCTTTGTCACCACTTTCATCTTCACTTTCTTCTTGTTCACTTCCCTCTTCTCCATTTACTTCAGTCTCTTCTCCAATACCCTCTCCTTGACCATCATCACCATCATCTTCTTTATCAGCATTGTCACCTGTTTCTCCACTTTCTGATAGTTTTTTTTTGTTTCTAGTTCTGGAGGTGCCATGTTGGTTCTCTTCCATAGAGGATTGTGATCTGTAAGTGTCACTGGAGGCAGTCTTGTCTTCAGAACCTCCACTGCCTTCCTCCCCAGGGCTGACATGGATGTCCTGCCCTGTCTCCTCTTTCTTGCCTACACCAACTTTTCTAGGTTTTTTCTTACCCTTCTTTACATTAGTTTTCACTTTATTATCATCTAATTTGCTGCCGTTTTTCGTACCCTGATTAGATTTACTTTTCGATTTTCTTTTACTCGCACCAACCTTTCCTCCCTCGACTTTTTTGCTTCTTGCTGTTGGCGATTTACTCTTCGATCTGTTATTACCATCTTCATCATTCTCCTCACCATCTTCATCATTCTCCTCGCCTGCTTCCTCTTCCTCTCCATCGTCTACACCTTCCTCATTCTCTTGGCTATTCTCCTGTGTCTCTTCCCCTTCCTCTTCATCACTCTTCATATCAAAGCTGTTGGCACCTTTGCTTCCATCAGTCTTACCATCTGTTATCTCATCCTGCACATCTCCACTCTCACTTGCCTCTGCTTCTTTCTTCACTCCCAATGCCTCTGCTATGTCTTCATCCCCTTCTTCTTCTTCTTCCTCTCTACTGGTTTTCTTTGATGCCTCTCTGCCTTTCTTATTCTTTCTCCCAGTTGTTTTTGATGTTTCTGTGCCATCTGTGTCATCGTTGCTATACACATCTTCCCCGGTGGTAGCATTGTCACCTCCTTCTCCTCCTTCGCTCATACTGCCTTGGGATTTCTTCTTCACAGGGCCTTTTCGTCTATTGGCACCTTTCTTACTTCCTTTCCCCTTTTTCCCCTTATTGCCACTTTTATCATCCCTTTTTTTTGTTCCTCTTCTATCGGCATTGGCACTTGTTCCTTCTTTCTCACTCATGCCTTCTTCTGATTCTCCTTCCTTCGGTGAGCTGCTTCTTCTTCTTCTTGTACTACTACTACTTTTTCCTTTCTCTGTTTCCTCTCCACTTATTGACTCTTTCCTACTACGTGCTGCTTCTTTCCCTTCCATCTGGGATTCCTCTTTCTTCACAGATTGTCTCCTCTTAACTGCTTCCATTCCTTCTGTTTCGATCTCTTTGCCTTCTTCGTCCACTTCCTTACTCTCTCTGTCTTCATCATCATTCTCTCCATTTACACCAACCTCCTGCCTGTCTTCCTCGACCTCCTTTCCTTCTTCCTCGACCTCCTTTCCTTCTTCCTTGACCTCCTTTCCTTCTTCCTTGACCTCCTTTCCTTCTTCCTCAACCTCCTCTCCTTCTTTGACCTCTACTCCCTCTTCTTTGATCTCCTCTCCCTCTTCTTTGATCTCTTCTCCCTCTTCTTTGATCTCTTCTCCCTCTTCTTTGATCTCTTCACCCTTTTCTTTGATCTCTTCTCCCTCTTCTTTGATCTCTTCTCCCTCTTCCTTGACCTCCTCCCCCTCTGCTGTGGTCTTCTCTTCCTCCTCTGCTATCCTATCCTCCTCCGTCTTCTTCTTGGCTAACTCCTCTGCTTCTTCTTCCAGCACCAACTTCCGGATGTTGACCTCTGAAGTTCCGGTCTACCAGGTGGAGTCAGGTCAAGTCATAGCCGACCAGGAGAGGTCACACGAGGTCAGGTGAAAAGACAACTCCAACATGTAATTAACTGGGAAATGACAATTTTCTTCTATTCCCTAAAAAGTTAAACATTCAGTAATCTCCTTTCAGAAATAAATTAACCTGTCTTTTGTTAGTTTTTGTTTTTTTCCATTTTTTCTTTCTTCACTGAGAAAATGGAATATATTGAGAGGCAACAGAAGATAAAAAATGGAAAAGAAAAACACACATGTAGAAATAAATTTTGGTTGGGGAAAAAGCATTCAAAAATATAGAAATTAAAGGTCTTCACCAAAAACTGGGGATGTGCCGAATTAACCATAATAAGTAAACACACACAGTTGGCAGGATGCTTGAGGTCTCTTTAACTGTGGAAAATGGTGCTTTTAGACATACATAAACAAGACACAACTTGGAAAAAGATCACTATGAAGGATCTTATCCAGAAAAATAACTTAGATTATTGTATATTAAAAACCTTTATTGAGCTTCAAAAGAACAGTCATAAATAAGTATTATATAATTTAGCAATTCTCTTTTGTTTACTAATTCCTCATTACCTTAAAAAAAAATTGGAGGTTAACCCCTCGGGGTGGTTCAATGACTGTCTTACTTTATGTATTAACCGAATATAACCAAACTTTTGCTTCTTTAGGAAATTTGTCTTAAGGAATACACAAAGGAAAAGTAGGTTTTGGTGACAGTTAAGATATGAAGCCATAAAAGCCATAAACACCATCTTCCATAAGGAATTGATCCACTTAGCATAGTCATAAACATTACAAATAAGTGTGGGTGAAATTTCAATTGGGGGGAGAGTGAGTGTGAGATGCTACAGGGTATTTGGGATGTTGTTGGAGGGGATATTGGTTGGGAGGGTTGGGTAGGCTGAGTATGGGAAGAGAAAAGGATAGAGGGGAGGGAAGAAGTGAGAGAAAATGAGAAACATAAAGAGAAGGAAGTCAGTATAAACTAATTACATACTGTAGCTATATTTATTGTCATCAACACACAAACTCTCTCTCTCTCTCTCTCTCTCTCTCAAACACTCCTCACAGGTGGAAGTTCGTGGATGACTGCACTGTGGGGGTTACAGTGGACAACACCTCACCGGACTACTCATCACTACAAGCCACCCTGGACAGGATACAGGCATGGACTTCGGAGAACACCAAAACCGCAGTCATGCACATCAACACTGCCACCACTTCAGTGCAAGCTCCAGCAGTTGCAGCAGGTGCCCATCCTCTCCAGTTAGTGCAGTCTGCCAAACTCCTGGGTGTAATTATAGAACACAAACTGGACTGGAAAGCCCATGTAAACAACACTATCAAGGCAGCCTCGTACCGACTCTACATGCTACGACGACTCAGGTCACTTGGGGCACCCATGCCAGAGCTGAGGATTATCTACACTTCATTTATACTCCCCAAATTAACTTATGCGTCACCAGCCTGGTCGTATTCTCTCAACTCTACCCAACAATGTCAGCTAGAGAAGGTACAGAAGAGGGCCTGCAGAATCATGCTCGGCGCAGACTACTCCGGCTACAACAATGCTCTCTCCACCCTGGAAATGCCATCCCTCAGTGACCTCCAGCACCACGTACTAGCAGGGTTTGGCTGTGGACTACTGCACCATCCTCGTCATCGCCAGTTACTGCCACCTGCATTCCCCCGCCCACCTCGCGCAGTTCGCCACTTCAACAAAATTCAGCCTATAAGAGCCCGTATTGTTAGATATAAGAATAGCACCATCCCACCTATTGTTAAAATAATAAACAGCTCTTGATATATGTACTGTACAGCCCTGCAAATGTATTGAATGTTGTATATTATGTCTAAATCACGTGTAAGTTTGTATATTTTCAGCCACTGGCTGCAACTCTATTAATAAACCGTTTATTATTATTATTAATATTATTATTATTATTATTATTATTATTATTATTATTATTATTATTACACACACACACACACACACACACACACACACACACATCATTCCCAGCCTCCATGAATTGTCAGTAACATCATCATATACCAGCAATCAGTCTTAATATCCTTAATCTTGGTACATCAGTAATACTGCAAAGAATACATCACCAAAACACCCAAGTTCTCTTTAACTAAACTTTACATCAACATCAGCTTTCACATAGATGATTGCTTCCACCTCTTATTTTTCACCATCAAATGAAATTCAATCTAATTTCGTTTGCCTCAACAGCATTGAATCCATTATTTTTATCATTTCTGTCTCTTTCTACTTTTTACTTTCTAATTTCCACTTATTCCTTCCCTTTCTACTTTTTACTTTCTACTTATTACTATCTCCTTTCTACTTATTATTTTCTTATTTCATTGATCAGTGCGAGAATAAATCCAAATTCATCGTCTTCCAATCCTAATCTCAATTCACGTCAATGCTCCATCATGCCACCTCTTACTCACTGCAAGCTCCAATCAGTCACAATGTCATCACCAATCATCTCCCTTCACCCCTTTTACTTCTTGTCTATGGAGTTGCCTTTTCTCTCACTCAACCCTTTCATCCACCTCTAACATATGGTACAGGTCTTGAAGTGCAGGTCATATACTCATCTCTAATTACACAGAAATGTTATTCATCTTTACCTTTCTTATACCAGCTGAAAGTCATTTATACCTTCTCTAGCCCATCTCAGTTATATGAAAAGGGAGAAAGGAGAGGAGAAAAAGGATAGGGAGAGAAGAAGGTAGAGGACAGGGAGAGAAGGAGGAGATGAAGGGGGCAGGACAGGGGAAGGAAAGGAGAGAAGAGGGCCAGAAAGGGGAGGGAGAGATGTGGAAGAAGACAGGAATAAAGGAGGGTGAGAGGACAATCGAGGGAAAGAATGAAGAAGGGTTGGTGAGAGAAGACTGGAAAGACGGAACAGAGATGACAGAGAGAACGGAGGAGAGGGAAGATGCAGGTGACAGAAAGACAGAGGAACAAGGAGAAGGAGAGGAAGGAAGATACAAGAGAGAGGAAGAAGGAGAGGAGGGAAGATGGAAGAGAGGAACAAGGAAAAGGAGGAGGGAAGCTGCAAGAGAGAGGAACAAGGAGGAGAGGAAAGAAGATGCAGGTGAGAGGTAGAGAAGAGTGTGACAACAGACGCCAGTGAATGGTGCCACTACACAACTAACACTGTTGATACACACATACAGCCTTGGAACTGGCAACTAGGGATGAGATGATAGTGGTGGTACTCATAGTGAAAGAGGGACTGCTGTGGTCATATCAGGGAAGAGAGAGAGAGAGACTGACAAAGAGGGGTTATGGAACAACATGTTACTTATAACCTCTACATAGGGAAGGACAAAAATGCATGTATCAAAAACTCCCTGAAAAAAAATCGCAAAACTCAAACGTGATCTGGAAGGAACTTTTACAGTCGACTGTAAGTGAGAAAAAATCATTAAAAACTCCAAAAGTCCTTTGGAAACATTTTGGAGGAAAATGCTTTATCTCATTATGTAAACAGATAAACAACAAACAGAAATAGGGCCAAAATATCAACAAAATGCTAAAAAATATGAAAAATTATCTGAAAAACAAAGCAAAAAATATTCAGTATACAGAATATCTGTTCACATTATCCAGAGTGAAGAGAAATGCAGTGGGCAGATCAGGTTGTTGTGGTGATGGTTATGTTCACTTTTTTTTTTGGGGGGGGGGAGGGGGGCTTAGCCCACCCAGGCACAGGTCACTGACCCACATCGGGGCCTGGGGAGCGAAAATGTAATACATGTAATAATAATAATAATTATTCATAGTAAATGAAATTTATAATAAAATAAAAACAAAATTGAAAATAAAATAATAATAATAATAATAAAGAACCATAAAGAAATACAAAAATTAAAAAAACAAACATAAAAAGTGAGAAACAATAAATGTATGTTGTGTTGTCAATAGCAAGAGAAACAATTGAGACCCTGCAATTATGTGTAAATGAGGTAGTAAGTCAGATCAGCAACCTTGAACTTGGTCACAATTTTCGTGATGCCATATGGCAGCAGGTTCTAACCATTAGACAACACATTATGCTTCCAATATCTTCCCAGGCGGTAGTACCTTGTCACACATAATCCCATAAACCACAGATAATAATAATAAGGGAAAATGTTTGAAGAACATTAAAAGCTCACCATTTACAGTTTAAGCTATGCAAAAATTCGGGGGACTAGAAATCAAAACAAATTCAGTCTGTAAAAGTCTTCTAAAACAAACAGCGAAGTAACCCCGGAGTCGAGTTTATTGTGTGGTTATTTATGTTCTTTTGTGTTTGGAATGTTATCACGTGTACTCTAAAACAAAATGCAAATACCCTGTGCTTGGTAGACATTGAAAGCTCACGATACTTAAGCTGTGTACAGGACCGGGAGCGGCGATGGAGGGACATGAATATTACGGACCTGTATAGCGCACTGTTGGCACTAAGAGAGAAACATTGCCGAAGGTATTATTTTGTAATTAATGCTCATATAAGTTGTTCTCTCAGGCTCAAATATCAATACTTCAGTTATAATAAATGTCTGATAAATACTGAAAGCTCACGATGATCTGTAAGCCATATAAGAATGGGGGCATTGAGGAAAACCATGACAATAAACTGACTGTACATGGCACACACATGATCTGAAAACAAGGCAAATGTTGCTCAGGTGATTTATTAACTTCATCTGTTGATTAAAAAGTCTTTGGATAATGTCACTTAAGGAGGTCATATGAGAGGTTCAGCTGTCGTGAGACTATTTCCAGAACGTGTGTGTGTGTCCATCCATCAGCTGCCTCTATCAATTATTCAGACGATTTCAAGAGATTTATTTTAGTGGTGATAGAAATTAACAAGTCTCATCACTCTATGTTTTCTTGATATTCTCTGAAAACTCGTCATTTCATATCTTAAACACAGTATTCACAATAAGGTCAAGACGTAAATAAAAAACAATGTCTGGGTGAAGTTTGAGAATCCTAGCACCATTAAACATAAGATAACAAAATGGGTAAAGACATAAGCTGTAAACCCGACATGACAAATGCCAACCCTCTTGATTATTACAGAAAAAAATTGGTAAAACAATCCAGAAAATGGGTAAGATAATACAGGAAATGGGTAAAACTATGTGTACTGTATAGGAAGTGGGAATCCCCCAATTCTACCCAGAAAATTTGTAAAAGAAACACAGAAAAGGGGAATCTCCTCACTATGATACAGAAAATGGGAAAATAAACCCAAGGAAAAGAAACCTGTTTCTGTCTTACATAATATGGGAAAACATCACAGCAAGTATGTACAGGTATACTGTACATTTGACCACTACACATAAAATGGAGGAAAAAATACAAAATGGAAATCTGCTTGATCGTCACATACACACAAAAATTGAAAACTTCACAGACAATTCGTAAAAAGTTCTTCATTACATAAGAAATGGGGATATTATTAAAAGACTAACCTGGGCATCTCTCTGTTGGAGCTTCTCTCTGTCGTCTCCCGTGTCTGTTTGTGCCTCAATGTTGACTGGTGAGGCTGTCATGGTGGACATGTTGGATTTGAGGACTGAGGAGGCTGAGGAACTCATGAGTTCATCACCAGTGAGCTCCCCGGCCGTGGCTCCAACCTTCCCCTGACTCGTTTCAAGCGCCCTGAGGAAGGGAAGGAGATGTCACCCTCATCACCCAAGAGCCTTACACAGGGAATAATCACCACAATCACCTCCAAAGATTCTTACTTGTAAATTTTACAAGTTGAATTACATACAGTTTAGGCTGTAACAAGAAACATGACCTTCCTTCGTTTTTAAACCTTAATGACCATTCCCTACCTGTAACTGAACAATCACTTGTTCTCCTTTAACTGCGTCTGACCTCTCCCTTACCTCTGCATGGCCTTCTGCAGTGCGTGTTTGTCTGTAAGCTTGGAGGCCGCAACACCACCATGGAGCTGGAGATACTTGGCACACCCTCTGTTGCTCCTGGCCACAGCAGCGTCCAGCGGAGTAAGCAACTGTCCCCGCGAGTTTCTCATGATAGGGTTGACGGCCGCCTGAAGGAGCCGCAGACGAAGAGAATAATATTAATCGGTTTCTAAACTTGATAATAAAGGTAAAGAAGGAGGATTAATAAGTGTTTGAAGGAGAAGAGGAAAATGGGGAGAGAACATGTGGTTTCTCAGGGGAATGTTGATGGATGCTTGGAGAAGTCACAGATAAATAGTGTTTATACCTGTATCTGTGCTGGTTCCTGTGCATATGTCCTGGAACTGTCACTGTATCCCCTCACACCACGGTACTTGTAACTGTACCCTTAATACACCACTGTATCCATTATACACCACTGTACCCTTAATGTATCACTGTACCCATAACTGCACCTCATTGAAATTTATTTAAAGTACAGTATCTGTACAGCATGCCCTACAAATTCGCACGGGCTAGGTTCTCAAAATGGCAGCGAAACGCTAAATCCGCGAATAACATTTGCTGACCGGGGAGGGGGGGGGGGGTACAATTTTACTTGTGTACAAAGAAATGTTTATTCCCTTTATGTGTTTGCCCTTAGGACAATTATTTCTTTTACCTGTATTTGTTATTAATAAAGCACGGAGTCGACTTGAGGGTGGACTCAACATTTTTAATACTACATTTGCTTCTGAGTATTTGTGAGGATTTTCCCATTATTATTTATTTGTATGTGTTTTATGTGTGTGTGTCTACACACACACACACACACACACACACAGTATACAATACAGGTAAAGGAAATCAATGTTTCTAGAACGAATGGCTCCCTGTCCCGGCCGCGAAAATATTGGCAACTTTAAAACTGCCCTCAGACAGTCTTGGGTACATCCAGGGTGTCATCCGTGAATAATAGAGGACTGCAAAATAAAATTCAGCAAATTATCCGGGCCTACTGTACAGGTATATGCAAAGAGCAACAGACATTAACAGGAGCAAGGGGCGACCTGATAGAGGTGTATAAGTGGAAGGCAGGGCTAAACAAAGGGGACATTACAAAGGTACTCAAACTATCCAACCAGGAGCGAACTCGTAACAATGGTTTTAAAATAGACAAATTTAGATTTGGGCGTGAAATAGGTAAACACTGGTTTGGAAACAGAGTAGTGGATGAATGGAGCAAGTTACCAAATATCATCATTAACTCGAATACGCTGAATAGCTTCAAACATAGGTTGGATGCTTATATGAGCAATAGGGGTTGGGTGTAAACGGGACTGCCCAGTATGGGCCAATAGGCCCGCTGCAGTTTCCTCCATTTTTATGTTCTTATGTTCGATGGGGGAGGGGGGTTAAGAGGGTAGGCTAGGTGAGGTGGGTGGTCAAGGAGCTAATGGACACAAGAAGATCAAAGGGAATGTCCGCTGTTATGGCGACTGCCACCTGACCTGACCTGATGTCACCTCACCTCACGACATCTTCAGGTATGTGACTGCGTGGTGTCTCCCCACACCCACACCATGCCCTTCACGGCTCCACCCATACCATACCCTCCACCCAAACAACTCTTTTACTATGGTTAATAATTAATTAATTAATTAAAAAATATATTATTAGTTTGCATGTAACGATTAATGATTTTTATTTTTTCAATTGTATTGGAGTAAAAGTATTAGAAAACCATACTTAAGTAAAAGTAAGAGTACTAAAAAAATTAAGTATTTTTTAAAATAAAAATCCCCCAAAATGTTACTTGAGTACATTACTCAAGTACAGTAAATTTATTTAGTTACTTTACAACTTGTACTGAACTCATAACTGTACCCATAACTGCACCCTAAATGCACCACTGTACCATAACTGTACCTGTTTATCCATGAGTATCTTGCACATCTCAATATTGTTGTTGATGGCAGCTATGTGTAGAGGACAGCGGCCATCTAGGTTAGGAGCGTTCACTGTGTCTGGTCTCATGGATAACAACCACCTGCAACAACAGCCAGAGTCACAGTAATGTCCCCAGGAGGTGATCAGCCACACACACACGGTGGCTTGAAAACAGTATTTCTTGGCGTCGATATTCAACTCTGTCCGGAGTCACTGATAAGCACCACAGTAGATCACTACTGTTACTACTACCGGGATGAATGATGAAAAAATATGTACTGCAGATTCAAGCGAAAAGGATTAGTTTATTTATTTTTTATTCCGAGTATCGTAACTACTGCATGGAGTCTCTCTCTCTCTCTCTCTCTCTCTCTCTCTCTCTCTCTCTCTCTCTCTCTCTCTCTCTCTCTCTCTCTCTCTCTCTCTCTCTCTCTCTCTCTCCTGGATGGTTCAGATGGCAAATCAAGCCCAAGAGCTGGGTCAGTATACTCATAACACGACATCCTTGCTATCAGACAAGCTGTACAGAGGTTACTGGTCACAGTTTTCACAAACGAGCAGGTTAGGAGCCACAGTACTCACAGCACCAAGTCCTTGCGGCCTGATTGACAGGCCTCGTGGAGCGGCAGGTCACCCTTGACGTTGCGCTTCCACAGGTCTGCACCTTTACGATGGAGAAGTTTCAAGGTCTCCAGCTGCCCCTTGGCTGCTCCACAGTGTGCTGGCCTGTGTGATATCCTAATGTTAGCACCTTTGTTAACATTCCCTATATCTTACCCAGTTACTAATCTCGAATCCCTGGAGGTGATTCTAATCTCAAAACAACAGAAATTCCCCCCAATCCCAAATCGTCAACAGAGCAGCATTTTCTTTAATCTTTAACTTCAATAACTTCTCCTCTCCATTCCTTAACATGATCTCCAGGACTTCCTTCCAATCTCCAAGGACTTAACCAATTCCTAATCCCTATCACAAATTTCCTCATCCTTACATCTATTCAAAACCACCAAATTAACCCTTAATCTTGACTTCTAAGAATCCCTAATCCCCTCCCTAACACTAATCACTACTGATCCCCCTGATATGTACACTTGGTAAACTTGCAAACAAAATTCCGTGGACACTTGGTCAGTATCTGGCATGTAAAGGGGATAAAAATTTTGATGTATTTTCTTGGCAGTAGATGTCAGATATTGCCAAGTGTTCAGGAAATTTTATTTGCAAGTGTACGGTACTAACGTTCGTCCCTTGCGGTCCTGCTTATCTGGGTGGGCGCCATGGTGTAGTAAGAGCTGTGTGCAGTCGGCGTGGCCCAATGTGACCGCGTAGAAGAGTGGAGTACATCCATTGGAATCCAACGTATCAACCTCCGCACCGCAGAAATTCACTAGGCAGTCCAAGCAGTCCAGATGACCTCTTGATGCGGCACAGTGTAGTGCTGTGGGTGGTGGACAGGTGTAGGGGTTGGTGGACAGGTGTAGGGGAGGGTGGACAGGTGTAGAGGTGGATGGAAAGGTGTAGGGGAGGGTGGACAGGTGTAGGGGTGAGTGGGTGGACAGGTGTAGGGGGAGGTAGACATTTCATTCACATAATAATGGATAAGTTGTAATAAAGAAAGAAACCAACACAATAGTCTCCTCTGCATCATCCATTAGGATTTCGAGCTGTCATCTGTGTCATTTACATTAGTACTGACTCTGCATTCCATACCTATTTGATGATAAAATAATTAAAGTGGAGGTATATCGCCCATCAGATAGAGAGAGAGAGAGAGAAACTGCTGGTACAATGTCATGACTCATCAATTCGATAAGACAAAGGAACACTATGGCAAATTCAAAAAGCAGAGACAGGGAGACGTGAAGTTACCTATGTGATAAATTAAGTACAGGGTTGTCGCTCACCTAAGAGAGAGAGAGAGAGAGAGTGAGAAATAGATATAACTGTATAACTCACCTGTTAGGCCGTCCTTGTCTTCGGCGCTGACGGAGGCACCGGCGTTGATGAGGGCAAGGATGGCATCAGAGCTGCCTGAGGGACAGTAGACGTGAGACGGCCGCACCTCTGCCGAGACAACAACAACACCAGGCGTGCCACACACACAACACACACACACAGGTCGCGCCTCCACCGTGCACCCCTAGACCCTCCACCGTGCATCCCTACACCTTCACCATGCACCCTAGGCCTCCCCGTGCATCCTAGACCCTCAAGTATACTAAATTTTCCTTCACCCTTGACCCTCCACATTACCCTAGACCTCGTGCATCCCTAGACCACTCCCCAGTGTCCCCTAGACCCTTCCACCATGCACCCCTTGACCCTCCACCGTACACCCCTAGACCCTCCACCGTGCATCCCTAGCCTATCCACGTGCACTGAACCCTCCACCGTGCACCCTAGACCTCCTGATGCACCCTAGACCCTCCACCGTGCACCCCTAGACCCTCCACCGTGCACCCCTAGACCCTCTACCGTGCACCTCTAGACCCTCCACTGTGCACCCCTAGACCCTCCACCATGCACCCCTAGACCCCTTCCACCATGCACCCCTTGACCCTCCATCTTTCACCCTGGGCCCCTTGTAAGCTATCCTCCAACCACCATGCATCTCTCCCCTCTCAACCACACCACTAACACCCTCCCTCCACGTACAAAGGAGCTAAGTCCTTCATCATGCAAGTTTAATCCTCTAACAAGCAACCCTACCTCCACGATTCATCACTAACCCTTTACCACACAAGGCTGGTCTCTTAACTGACTGCTTCCTCCACCATACAGTGCCCTCCCTAAAACCGAGTACTGTACCATTGCCTACACCCTGGCCGAGATATACAGATTCTTACATGCCTTGAGTCATGCAAGTTAGACTGAACCATGCAGGGTTTGCAAAACATTGACCCCCAAACTGGGACAAAGTACATGCACGAGCCCTAATAAAAGTGTGGAATGGAAGGAGGAAGGGGTTACAGAAAGGTGGTTGGATATTAATAATAAGTACACTCTGATAACCAGAATACAAGATGATACATTTCAACCCCAAAATGGTTAAAGAAGTACAGTACATATACAACACAAGGATTTATAGCCGTCTTGGTGAACTGTACTCGGTAGGGAAGTGATGGTATGGAGAGAAAAATACTGTACCCATAAATCATCAGTGGCAGAAAGTACAGTTTATGTACAGACGATACAAAGACGATACACCAGTTGGACAACAGAGTAAGCAGGCCAGAGTGGTACAGTAGTAAACACAAGAGTACTGTACATAAGCGCCGGTGGAGTCGTATATCATGTACAGTACATTTGGAGTATCAGACGGATCATTGACAGTAATACCAGCACACACTTGTAATCAAACAAAGACTAAATGAACACAAGGGAGATGGACAAACATACGTCAGGATATTAGTGAATATCTCGAGGGATTTCGTAGGGGAAAGATATTTTGTAAACTCATCTACTCTGACGAGTAGCAATTATTATCAAGAGACTCACTTCCCGGGGAAAATTCAGGTGGAAAATCTTAATTCTGAAGGAAAATTTGAGAAAAAATCGTGTATTAAACAAAATCAGAAAAAATATTTTGGTTTTTGAAGATTTGAAAAAGTTCTTTGTTTTTAAAAGAGAAAAATAGAAAAGTTTTTCTTTTCTTTTTTTTAAGGAAAAACTAAGAAAATAATTTTTGTTTGTAAAGGGAACGTGTGATAAACAGGCAAACATTAGATATAGTAGAAAAGAGACTATTACGTTTACATATTAAGAAATTAGTGAGGGAGAAAGAGAAGGAAATAGATACGTATATAACAAATGATAACTTTAGAAGGGAAGTAGAGGATAATACAGAGAAAGTCAATAAATCATAGAAATAAGATAACATGATATAAAAAGAAGAAAAAATATATATACTGTATTACGAAGATGACTTAACCTTGTCACCCCATTAAACCTCAAGTCCCAACCTTCACAATCGCAGTCTTTAACGGCCTTATGACTGACAGCAGGTTAACATCTTACTGTCATCATGTCCCGAGTTACGAGAAGAGATGTTATAAGCTGATGGTGGAAGCTGGTCATGGGAGGTGAGGGTCTGGGATGATTTTCTCACAATAAGTTCTTGATGATTATGTCGGATACATTTCTTCTGGGGGAAATGTTCGTTTTTTATCCTTAAGAGTTATATACATGTGCCTCGACTTTATATTATATAGTTTAATAATACTGTACTAATAGATAATTGAAGTAATTGTTTGTGTAGTAAGAATCTCTCCCAGTAGAACTGAGGGCTGTGGTAGGGTGTGGTGGAGGGCGAGGCTGAGCTGTAGAAGGACCTGAGTGCCTGGTTCCCACTCCGGGGGGTGACGGAGAGAGAATATCTTACCATCATCTCTCGGGCAGCACACGAGAGTAACCAGAATATCATCCTCACTAATCAGCCAAATGAGACTTTATTTTATAGAGCTCGAGGATTATACATATTATATTGATGACTTATGACTTACAGTAGCCTAATGTTGTTGCATCAAAGAAAATATTCGCATCAAAACTCGTCCGAGATTGTTTGATAAATTAATACAAATCATCAGTATCGTTCTATGAAAAGTTGTCCCAATGAAGTTACAGAAAATATTTGCTTTTGCTTCGTTTGTTGTGTATTGTCTAGATGTTTAAACATAAGCACTCTATCTCCCTTGACTGCAGCCATAAATTAAGTCATCATTCAAGTGACCATCTCTTGCCGTGTTCTGCTGGATGGTAAGATGCTGCTCTGTTAGCCAAGGTCCAGGCGATGACTAGATATGGCACCCAAGTATAGCTTCCACTACAAAATGGATATTATTCTATCTTAACATTAACATGAAAATCTTGAAATATAAACATAATCTTAGAGATAATACATTATTCTTAAAAGTACGCGATGTGTTACAGTGAGAATGGGAGTGTGCTGCTGACCTGTTCGAAACTAAAGTGTGTAATAGTGGCATTGTTGAGAGAGACGAACACCGCCCACGGCCAGCCAGGCACACTGACCAGGGACCTCTAGGGGAAAGGGAGGGAGATTAAAGGGGTCTAAATGGTAGGTAGAGGCTTTAACGGGCGATTAAGAAAGTCGGGATTAGGAGATGAAGGGAGAATATAAGGTGATGCAAGAAGTGGATGGAGGGGTGCTGGTGGTGGTGGTGGAGAGGTGTGCTGGTGGTGGTAGTGGAAGCAGTGGGCATGACAATTGTTGGTAGTGGTGGGAGGTGGAGGAGGTGCTGGTGGAGGAGTGCTGAGGCATTTGGTGGAGGTGTCTGGGGATTCCTGGTGGTGGTAGTGTTGGAGGAGAGTTGTAGGAGGTGGTACGGGTAGATGGTGGTAATGGTTTTGAGGGTTATGGTGGTTGTGAGGGAGTTGTGATGGTGGTGGAGGTGGTTTTGAGGGAGTTGTAGTGATGGAGGTACTGGTTTGGTTTTGGTGACCAGAGAGTGGTGATTGTAGTAGTAATGGTTGTGGTGATACAGTACAGTATAGGCAGTGCTGATGGTGGTGCAGGTAGTGATGGTGATGTAGGTTATGTTCATGATAGTGGTAGTAGTGGTAGCGGGTCGTAGTTGTGGTGTGGGTAGTGACGATAGTAAGAGGTAAATACATGGGATGGTGAAAAATAATATATTAATAATAATAATAATAATATATATATATAATATATATATAATAATATTAATATATAATAATATATATAATTATAATAATATTAATAATAATTGTAATAATAATCACTGCAACCAAAAATATCAACTAAAAAATAATAATAATGGGCATATAAATGTGTGTATCCGAATTTTTCATTGCCATACGTGAGGAATACATGTGTGTGTGTTTATGTATGCGTGTGGTGATGATTTATATATGTACAGTATCATGTATAAATATTAACAGATACAAAACAATACAGCATCGTGTATAAATTATGTAATATAACATTGTCACCTGTTAGGGTTAAGGAAATTAGTCGTAAGAGTTTTTAAGAATCCGGACCTGAGACACATTATTTCCTTATTGATTTGAAATAAATGGGTGTTTTAAGAATACAGAAAACAAATCTTTCAGGTTCTTTGTCTTTAGTTTACAGCACTGATGATCAAAGTTAATATAAGTACAGGGGTTCCCAACTTACGAACGTCCGACTTATGAATGCCAATATCATACGCACGAGGTTAAACTTTAAATTTATAGTATTTTATTTACACGATGATTTATTTTTTACTTTCATTTACTGTATTTTGTCATTCTTTTTCTTCTTTTCTCTTAAATTGAGTGATTTTAGATGTACTGTATATAAGGACTTAGGCTATGATATAGTGGGATTTTAATCATTGTTCTGTAAGTACAGTATGCACAAAGCATGTGTTTCAACTTATGTACATTTTTTACATAAGAATGTCCTCAGGAACAGAACCCATTCGTAACCCGGGGACCACCTCTAAAGTATTTGATTTTCACAGGGGATTTGCTAGCCAGAGTTACTTTTCAACCATAAGGAAAATTAATTCAAGTGTGTAGGGAAAAATTCAAACCGATCCAGGAAAAAGTGAGGCACATCCGGGAAAAACTGTAGTGTGTCAGGCGTGTCAGGGAAAAAAGTCAATCGCGTTGGGCTCACTCACACGGTCAAGGCTTAAGGAAGGTTAACTATAAGAGACGAGAATACAGTAAACAACAGTTAAAAAGGACAACTATTTGTTGATTTTGATACTGAAGTTGTTTTGGGTTTAATATATTTCCCACAAAACAGAATATTTAAAAACATTATCAGTAATGAATCAAGAAAGTGGAAATGAATGTAAGTTTAACTGGACTGGACTGGACATAACTGTTAAAAGGGTGAAATATTAAATGTTTCTAGTTCAGAGTGAGACAAAAGTGTGTAAACATTGACTAGAAAATAATGTTTCGAGTTCACAATGAGACAGAAATGAATGAGACAAAAATAGAACAATTAATTAGGCAGAAACTCTTGAAAAAATGACAAGGTATAAAACATAAGAAAGATGTCCCGTAGAACTATAAGAAAAAAGGAAAAGTAGACAAAATAGGTGAGCGACATGATATATAGTTTTAAGAAAATAAAACCATAATATAATATTTTTTCAAGAAAAAAATATAAATTAAACTTCAATTTATGAAGTGACAAAATTTCCCCAAGAAAACCAATAAGAAAAAAATTGAAGCATTAAAATGAATGAGACAAAATTTGAGACATTTTAAAATATAAAATCACGAAACAAATCCACTAAAGTAATTTTTGTGAGGCAAAACTAGTGACACAAAACAATCGTGAGACATTAAATTACCATAGACAGGTGAGGTGAAGGCTTTAGGAATATGAAAGAGTGGAAGGAACATGGGACAGAAGGTGGTGAGAAGGAATAGATGGAGTGGATAGAGAGGAGGGAGGAGGACTGTAGAAAGGGGGAGGAGGGAGGGTAGTAAGGGAGGAAAGGAAGGAAAAAGAGGGAGGAGAAGACAGGCGAGAAAGATAGGATAGTGAGGAGGGTGAAGAGGAGGAAAAGTGGGAGGAGGGGAGGGGAGGAGGAATGGGGAAGAAATAACAGAAGGGATAAAGAGGAAGGAAGGAAGGAGAAAGAATGAATGAAGGAGGGAGATGGAAAAATTATTACAAGGAGGGGGGAGACACGAATGGAGAGGAGGAGGAAGGAAAACTAATGGCGTAAAAGGGAGGCGAAGTTAAATGAAGGAAGAAAGAGTGAGAAAGTAAGAAGGTGGAACAAGTAAAGGTATAAAAATTAGTTATGAACAAGGAAGTAAGGAGTAAGGAAGTATGGAGAAGTAAAAATGTTGTAGTCAAAAAGTAAGAAATATTGAAGTAAGCAATTCATCGTTACTTCAGGAATAACGAATTTTCTCAGGAACACAAAGATGGGGTAAAAAAAGTAAGGAATGTTTTAGTGAGTAAAAGAAAGTAAAGCATGAAGCAAGTAAGTGAGTAAATAAGTAAATAGAGGTAATTAATTGAGACAGTAAGTATGTCAGTATATGTGTTGTGCATCAAAACATTTTACACGATGCTTCCAAACAAATTAGGATTTATGTGGGATTACGTGCTAAATCCCCTTTGGAGAGAGAGAGACATTTAATCCAGGCGCTGTAAAGAATAACTAACAAAAAATGTGTGCTAAGCGTGTTTGGAACGTGCAGCCAATCAAACACAGTCAAACAATAATAAGGTCGGGTCAAGGGGTAGTGGCGGCGTTCACACACATAAAAGGTCATATCTATAGGTCAGGTTAGTGCAGCTTAAAGTTGATTTGAATTCCGGTTGTATGTAAGGCGTAGGTCAGGCAGGTTTTATGGTTGATCAGGGGAAAGGTCAGGTCAGGTCAGGTCAGCAGTGTGCTTGGCATAACCCAGGAAGGTGTTGGTCACAGAGGTCAGTCAGATGACCTCACAGATGCTATAATGAAACATGCACACACACACACACACACACACACATGTTCACCTCTTGTTTGGTTGATTAATGTTTTTGTTTGTATTTTTAGAAATTAATCTCGTTTTAGATACAGCGTGACTACAAATACGGATGCTGATGAACCTTAAAGAACATAGCTTGAGGTTATGGCTGTTTGTCAGTGGGATATCCAAGGTGTTAAAATAATTCTGGTTAATCTTTGTGAATTTTGTGTAAGCAGTTAGTTTTGATAAAGATTAATATTTTACAATTTTTTTCCTCTGTTTGTTTATAAGGTAAACTGTATGTAAGATTCATGCTGGTATATTCTGAGTGCAATACACATGTTGAACCTAAACGACTCGTTTATTGGCTGAATCTACTGTACAAGACTTTATAACAAAGTAAAAAACCTGGTTCGATTAGTGGTGAATTTAAATGACGTCAGAGATATGTATACATAAAATCAATAACGACCTCCTATTGGATAAATTTACCAGATAGTCAAAAACATAAATAGAGTGGATAACGAATGTGTACAGTACTGGGTTTTGGAGGCGTTTCAGATTACTGTACTACAGTGAGTCGACAAGGAAGGCTAATGGGTTGAATTCATGTAACAATAGAATGCAATTGGTTGAAAATATGAAGCCTATGGCGAGTAGCTTAATAGCTAACTTTATGACAACATAGGGTAAACAAAGTCAATAACAAACATTTATTGGTTGAATTTATATGCCATCATAGATGTAAACAAAGTAACAATAGATTCTGGCTGATTGTACAGTATCAGAAAAAAATATCTGTAAACATTCTGTGGTATTACGAGACACCGGATGATAAATATTGAGGTAAACAATGTGTATTTATTTCGGCGTAATTAATATGATGTTCGGTTACCAAATATAGTAGGACCAGTATACCACAGAGCCACGTATACCAATCCTCCCTGGACATCCTTGCATGTAGCATTTCGGAAGTCATTGGACCCATCCTGGCATATACTGTACATTTTTTAGATACTGTACATTGTCTCTTGAGTGAAGGCAGTACGTACCGAGCATTTATTGACTAAGTTACGTTATGTCAGAGGTATGTACAAAGAATTAACTAATAACAAGCTTTCTATTGGATGAAATTATGTGACGTCATAAAGATACACTAAGATCTGATATAGAAATAAAATTCAATGACTGCCTTTTTGTGGCATCATCTCCTACTCATAGCCTCGTTCATATAGATCCGTTCGTACTCATAGTCACAGCCGAAAATGCAAAAATAATAAACACCCTTTACTTTGCTTTAAGGAAATCAACTATCTTCCCATGTTCCTAAATTAGATAATAGTTTGAGATTTTAGTAATTATCAAGAACAGTGACATGGTCAACATTAACTAATAAGAAGGTCTTTTCTGTACATGTACATTATTAGATAAGCATTGTAGTTGTGTTCAATTGTATAACTTCATATTTTGGGGTTTCCCCAAATTTATTTGATCTCAGACATACAACCATATTTTGAAATAGTCAAAATTCCCCAAGCATATCTTTACTAACCTGATCTTAGAATATAAATTAGTTACATCAGGTGTAGTCAAGTTGGGTTTGACATGTTCCTTTTTGCCTGTTTTAAGAAATAATGCACAGTAAAGTAGCCACCATGAGAAAACCACCACTATGCTGATCTTAACAATATCCAAGAGTTCTGAACTGTTTGGTGTTAGTTTGTAAAGTTGTTGTGGGGGTGACTCACTTAAAGTATCTGCAGGTGTAACTACAAAAGATATTTGACATTACTGTAAAATCCTAGTCGAGTTTCTTAGGAAAATTATCCTAATAGTTGACCAACGTTGTGTAATATCTTGATAATGTCTTTAGTATTGGAGTAGCAAGAGATCTCCCATCCACATAATCTTAGAGTCGTTCTATAGCATCCAATCACCCCTGAGGATGTCCTAGTGTGATCTATAACTCACAGATGTCCTAGTGTGATCTATAACCCACAGAAGATGTCCTAGTGTGATCAATAACCCACAGAAGATGTCCTAAAGTGATCAATAACCCACAGAGAGTTCTAATGTGTCCCATGTCCCTACATGACGTCCAGTGTATGCTACCGGCACTGGCGGCCCAGAGAAGGGGCTGACGACCGTCGTGTCAGTGTGGAGACGTCAACGCCAGCTGCAGAAGTTTCCCCAGCACCAGAGCCCACCCGCACGTCGTTGCCCATCTCACTGTTGGGCCCACACATCTGTAACAGTGACACCCAGGTAGTGGAGTGAGTACCCCATATTTCCCTTCCTAATTAGCCTAATAATTGACCCTTGACCTTTGGTGTTGGAATGAGTAAAATATCATTTTGACCTAGATACTGACCCTATAAACAAGCTAGTGAATACTCTTTGTTGAATGATTTGTTAAATTGTTTAGGAAATTTGAATAAATTCCCTCATACAGAGATAGACCTCAGCAGTACCTGGGCAGCGTAGTGGAGTGGTGAGCACCATGGATGTCGGGTGTGCTGGGGTCAGCCTCCGCCTCATCAAGCAGGTCGAGTAACTCCACCTCACCACACACTGTAAGCAGATGAGAGTGTGAGGTACAGTCATAACGTCTATGTCTCGGCAATCAGAATGAGCCGCTGTCAATACAGTGGCGGCTCGTGCATAGGTTGCAGAGCTGCAGTCCCCAGACACTCACTGCAGGCGTCAGTTCGAGACAGCTGAATAATACACTACCAACAAATATATCATTTTATATGTTATTTAATTATTTTAATACGCTAGTTAAGGAATTTTCATTAAAATCAGACCAAAATTTAAGTTACTTTCATAGTTGCCAATGCTGTACCATTCATGTCTGTTAGTAATTGCCGCCACACACCACTTGAAGCAGCTCAGTCTCGACAACGGTTTACATTGCATGTGGACGTGTGGTTAAATCGTGCTTTCTTTTAATTACCCTTTACGATGGAAAATCGAGGAAGTAAATAAAGGATTTTAATGAAATAGTAATAAACAATTTTGCTACACGAAGAGCAGACACGCCGACTTTATTTTCAATTAATACTGGTCCACCAACACTACTACCATGCCCTGGGAATTGTGACATCAACTACAACTCATACCTGAGGTAGGTCAAATTTGTGTATCCTACTGTTGTGTGAGGTTTGCAGTCCCTCCATTTTATTTTTCACGAGCCGCCACTGATACCATAGACTACAGTATTCAGGACCACAACCAAAGAAGAAAACTTAAATTGAATTTTTTGTAATGGAATTTAGAAGCACATGGCTGCATCCTCTTGAATCTGTCAAAATTGTTTCCTGCCTATGAGTAGAAATTATATAAAATTGATGGTGGAAAATTATAGTTATCACTCCTAGGATGTTTACATTAAAAAAAATTCTGGGTAGACAAATGTCTCCTGAAGTTTTCGGGTAGATCGTTGGTTCACTCTCGGGGCATCCCTAGTTCATCCAGCTGTGATTGAGTACCTAACTTTACTGTTGGACAAAGTAGGTGGTCAAGTGAAGTGCTGGCCAAACTGCCCCTTTGTGTACCTAAAACGGTTATTTTAAACTGCCGCATACATACTGGCTGTAACGGACATTCAGGCGTAAAGGATTCATTTTCATAGACTTCGGCATCGAGATGACAAGTATGATGTGTTTCTGCTCAGTCAGTTTCTGCACAATTACTATGATGATTTATAGGATAAAAGTAACTACACTACTGTATATGCTTATTTGTGCGACAATATTCTACAAGGTTATTATAAAGGTTATATATGTTTATGTCTCCTTCACCTATGTTTACTGTTAAACAGGATAAAGTTTAATGATAGAGCGCCATGTATTATTGAATATTTCCGTGACCACAAAGAAGCAAATGTGAAAATGTGATTTTAAAATAGTCAATAAGGCCCGAATTCAGAACGGTGGTTTGAGCCTGGGATTTGAGCTCGGCTCAGGCGTGCGAATCGTGATTCCTCTATTCCAGATTTCCTGCAGTGGATTACTCATATTCAGAACATCCGCTTGAACCCCAGATCGGGTAATTTGTTACATTTTCTTCAATTCCGAGCAAGGATTCAACATTGAAATTCGAGCCAATCACGTTTCATTAACACCATTAATATAGCCAATCACCATCGAGAGTAATGTTTACAAGATTATGGCGGCAACTATAACTTGACGAGTTTTTATGGAGGAGGAGAATTCTCCTTGCACATCATAAGTTACTTTTGTTACTATAATTACAATCAAATTGTGATCAAATTATAATGATTTATGGTACTGTGTTACAACGTGGCTGTGTTGTTTTATGATAACAAAGAAATTCACAGAGGAAAAACAATTACCCGGTACATAAAAATTGTAGATATAATCCGGGATAGGTGACAATATTCATAACTAAAGCAAGCTGAACCAATGCAGGGCATAGTAACCTGGCTAGGTTCGGTAGTTAGGTTTATTTCTGTTCTTTTAACGTCAGATTTCTCCTGATTAGCAATGTTAAGAAAAAGCTTTCCTTTATTAATATATTGAAATGAAAATGCACTCAGCATTGATTCAATTATATTGAAAATACATGAAAATAGTTTTCCTAAAGAAAAACACCCAAAATAAAGAAGCCTCAGCGCTCTTTACATTTACCGACTTGATCTTCATGAACCCTAAACACGAAAAATCTCAAAGCAATTATCAGCTGATGAATGGGGAGGTAGAGGTGAACCATATTCAGCAGGTCTGTCAAGTAGATGCTCCATATCACGGAAAATATCAAGGAGATCTTCCTTGCTGAACCTATATCGTTGTCAGAATTGGGTACCATCATAAAAATTTATATGATTCTGCCCATCTACCATCAGTCTTCTCTACAAAATTTCAAATTTGACGATATCGCCGAAAAGCTCTCTGTCAAAATTCATGTTGACTTCCTATCTTGAATGACGGATCGACCTCTAAACCTGCCTCCAGGCTGGATTAACGTGAGGATCGACAAATCCCATCTCAAACCCGGTTTGAATCTTTGTGTTGGATCAAGCCAGCATTCTGAATACCAACAAACTTCAACTGCTCCATCCTTGGTTTAAACCTTCATGCGGTTTCAAACCAGCGTTCTGAATTCGGGCCTAATAGTCTAAAATAACTTAATAATTTGTAACAATCAATTGCACATGACAGCGCTAGAGAGCCAAGGTGACGAGACCCGCTATTATCAGCTCTGAGACACAGTATACTGTATGTTGACTGTTAAATGATGTATTAACTTAGAAGAAAGAAAGATGTAGACAGAGAAGAAAAATGACAAATGAGGGCAGAATTGCATATAACAGTTAAAACAACAATAGCAGATTAGATTGAATTGTTGGGTTGATTTTATTCAATTGACTTAGATATTAACTCCAGCTGTTCACCGACTTGGCCTTATAAGCACTTTTTTATAGCATGACTCGTAAGGTTATGCTTGATGGGGTCATGAATAGGTATGCACACTGTACATACAGAAGACCCTAACTCCACTGGCTGCATTTATTATCACACCACCACCACAGACATATAGAGACAGGCATGGAGACACAAACAACTGACGGGCAGAGATAAGTGAAAATATTTAAATTCATTGCATATAATCACCATCATTACTCTAAAAAATACACATATAAAAGCGCAGGTACAGTAATTACCACTGGTATGCATAAAACAATAACATACAGTATTATATATATACAGTATACTGTATTATACAGTGTACAGTGTATCTTTTATAGCCTAAAACCGGGTAAAGACATGTCCTTGTTGCCCGTAAGAGGGATGCATAACTAAAAAAAAGGAATACACCCCTAATGGAAAAAAATATCCTGGAAATGTAATTAGCGAAAAGGTTATTGCATGTTAGCAGTTCATATTTTTGTTAGGATTTTAAGTAATAATTCTATTATTCTCTTTGTTGGAAAATTAATTGTTTACCTTGTTTATCAGGCTAAATTGGAGCTGAATTTCATAATAAGTAAAGAAAGAAACAGGAATAACAAAGCAGGTGATAAAGGAGAAAATAGTCACACTAATGGACTACTGTTGGGAAGTGAGGGGGAGAGAGAAAGAGAAAGGAAGTGAAGGAGATAAAGAGAGAAATAGACAAAACAATAGAGAAACACTGACAAACATAATGTCAGGTAAAGAGAAGAGAGAGAGAGAGAGGGAGAGAGAGAGAGAGAGCTACATGTGAGTGAGTCTGTAATCTAAACACAATACGAGAGTGTGAGGACAAAACTCTCTCTCTCTCTCTCTCTCTCTCTCTCAATCCTTGATACCCCGCCATTTTTCGCGTGACTTCTAAAACCAACAGACAAACAGACAGAGCATTTCGAAATGTTTGACAGGAAACACAGGCAGGTTTTGAATAGCATTGTATACCTCCTAAAATTACACCCGGCCTGTCTGAATCACAAAGAGTCCACAGTATATAAGATTGTCAAGGTTCCTCCCTATGTTTGATGGGGTAAGATTGGGGTGAGGAGAGTCGGGGAGAAGGGAAGGGTTGAAGGAATAGGAGGGAGGGAGGGATGGGGTGGAGAGGGTCAGGAGAAGGGAAGGAGTTAAGGATGGGGTAGTGTGTGTGTGGGTGGGTGGGGGGCTCTTTGTCCAAGTGTGAGTTCCTAACTGTGTATATGCACGTTCGTGTGTGTGTGTGTGTGTGTGTGTGTGTGTGTGTGAGGAGGGGTCTTTGTCCAAGTGTGAGTTCCTAACTGTGTATATGCACGTTCGTGTGTGTGTGTGTGTGTGTGGGAGGGGGCTCTTTGTCCAAGTGTGAGTTCCTAACTGTATATGCACGTTCGTGTGTGTGTGTGTGTGTGTGTGTGTGTGTGAGGAGGGGCTCTTTGTCCAAGTGTGAGTTCCTAACTGTGTATATGCACGTTCGTGTGTGTGTGTGTGTGTGTGTGGGAGGGGGCCCTTTGTCCAAGTGTGAGTTCCTAACTGTGTACATGCACGTTCGTGTGTGTGTGTGTGTATATAATGTCTCAGAACACACACACCACCTCACTGTATTATTCAAGATATCAGCATGTCCTAGTTCACAAAGGTTCCTACCAAGACTATTTCTCCAAACTGATGATATAAGAATGCATGTAATTTATTGAGCTAAAACACACACACACACACACACACACACACACACACACACACACACACACACTGTAGCTCTCACTGATGATTTACGGAGGTTAATAAAGTAGTTCACTCCATGTATTAGCATTCATTTTTAACCTTATTATCAGGGCATAATATTATATTACCCCATAAAACCCGCAAAGGTGGACATGACTCCTGACCATATTTACGAATACTTCACTTCGGGTCGTCGTCTTATTTTATAGTATAGCACGTTCTTCCCCCTAGTGCCCTTAAGTGATTACCAAGTACCTATCTTATATCCTAAGTACTTATTACGGTATACAAAAGTCAGTATATAGCATTGTTTTCTACCCATAAACATCCTCAATTAAAAGACTACTAGGTTACTGGTCCGATTTAGAAGCATTTAATTTTGAGTCATATGGTGAATTAGAC